GTCCAGATTTTTTTTTAAGTCATGGTATGTTTAATATGTCAAGACAACAACACCCTCTCTGTGTAAAACAACATTCCAAATGACCTGATGTGCAGGATAAAAGGGCCGTCACCTGAACTGCTGACAGTCAGCACATCCTGGGCTGACATCACTTCTCTCCATCTCTGAACACACTGACAACGGAGAATCGCTGCAGAGACCGGCACAGGTAATCTGAACTTGTTTTAGCATCTAGCAGATCTTTATACTGACAAAACCAAGTTGAGCTTAGATGGAAGTTTGCTGTATTTGTCAAAATTGTGATTTTAAAAAAAAAATATAAGATGATGATGATGATGGTGATGATGATGATGATGATGATTATTATTATTATTATTTTAGCCTGTGTGCACTTTTAACATTTTATGCTAAAGCGGTACAACTGATGCCAAAAAACTGACTCCATCACCACAGCACTCACTTTCTCAGTACTCCTTGTATGAACTTAATTTCTGCTTAATTTTCCTGCACAGATGGAGGTTTCACCTCCACTTATCAAATAAAAGTCTGTAACACCAGGACATCCCAGTGAGAGGAAAAGCTGAACAGAAACGGCTAAAATGCTGGACAGAAACTTTTCAAATATAAACTGCCAACTATTTTCTGATCTTTTGAAATCAGAGAATGCTCTGCTATTCCTGCTTTACAACATTACAAACTGAATGTCTCTGTGGACTGTCAGTCCGATTTAAAGAAGAAAAAAGCTGAATGAAGGTGTCTTGTTTTACTCTGGCAACCATGATGGACTACTTTTGTTCCACTTTTTGGTATTTTACAGATGTAACTTCAAAAATGCAAATAGTAAATGAGTGCATCTACTTATTTCTGGTGTCGTACTGAGACACTATTCACGTGCATTGCCATTTATTTCTAAAAGTCTTCTAAATTTTTATAGGCCTCAACAGACTGAATGCTGTTTAACTGGAAATTGACATTTTCTTTGTCTCCATACATGAGAACAGGAAAAAAAATTACTAAACCTGTTTGCTAAAGTTTTTTTTTTTTTTTTAACTACCTCTTGTTTTGATTGATAACTTACAGCTGAAACTAAATTCACTAATTTCATTTTCTACTTTCTCTGTCCTTGTCTCTTTGACTCCAGCCATGCTCTCCTCCTCAGCTCCTCTCTTCCTGAGCCTCCTGCTCTTCCTGTCCCACCAATCTCCTGTCCTGTCCTGTCAGACTGGGACTAAGAGCCAGTGTGACTCGGCTCCCTTTGTACCGGGTCACAACCTGGGAGGGGAGGGCTTTGATGTGGTCACCCTGCAGCGGAAAGGAGCCTACGTGGTTGATGTGAGGACCTACCTGACCCCAGCTGGTACCTGCACTCTCTGCTCCAACCCGCTCCAAGGCAACGCGCTGCAGAAAGTAAGTTAAATCAGAAAGTAAGTTAAATCAGAAAATAAGTTAAATCAGAAGGACAAGTTTACACAAACTGCAGCAAATTACTTTGGCTCACACAAAGTGTTCATATGTTAACAACGGTGTTCTCACTTTGTTTTTCAGCTGCCAGTCTCTGCAGTGGACTGGCGTGCAACCACCCGCTGCACCAATTATCTCTCCAGCACTTACCACACCTCCGTCAGGTATTCTCAGATTTAAAGCCTCATCTCTCATAGTGTCATCATAATTCTAACTGGCCTAAGCTTTTGATTTAAACTTGTCTAAGATTTGAATTTGCCATTTCTTTTGGTGTATTTGTGTAAATGAAACCATCTGCATTTGTATCTATAGTTCACTGGTTAAAGAATTCACCTCCCAGGACAGCTCCACCTGGACAGTAGGACACAGTTCATGTTGCATGAAATACACAGATCATTTTATGATTACTGTAAACTGATTTTTGTAAAAGTTCTTTGGAGAACCTAAAGGAACCATTTTTGATGGTTCGTTGAGGTGCCATCGGGAATTCTTTTTTTTTTTTTTTTTTTTTTTAAACTGTTTTCAGAAAAGAACCTCTTGCTAAGACATGAATGTCTGCCAGAAATCTATCAGATTTCATGGTAATCCATCCAACAAAGGTCAAGATAACTCAGCCTGAACCACAACGGTGGACAAACATCTGCAGACATGCAGCTTGCATGGATAAACCTTAACAGAGGTTGAGAGAAAAGTGAAGTGAAAACTTCTCATAGGGACATCTAAGAATCCTAAGAGGAAAGTTGTTGAAGAAGTTGTTTTTCTTTATATTTTAATGCACTGAGCACTAGAAACTAAATTCAGTTGACCTCCAGCATGCTGTAGGGAAATCTCAGAGTTAGCGCTTCATCAGATAAAATGAAACTTCCCGCATGTTAAAAAAACTGTACTAGTAGGTTACATCACTGTTGCTATGTTGGGACGTCAAGCAGCTCATGTCCTCCTTTTCTTCAGTCTGGACTAAATTATAAGAAGTTCGGCAGCTTGGAAGCGGGAGGAGCACGTTCCTCTGCGTATCGCTTTGCTTCAGCTGCCAGCAAAGAGGACCGCTACACCTTCAGCATCCACAGCACCACCTGCTCCCATTACCGGTCGGCTGTGGAGACACCAACATGAATCTTCCATTTTTTATCCAAGTTAGCAGACAAAGGTGGTTTATTATAATGTACTGTTTTTGTGTTTAGTTACCGTGTGTCAAACACACCGGCCCTCAGTGCTGAGTTCAAGAAGGATTTGGCAGGCCTGCCTTCCTACAACGTCTACACCTCGCTCCAGTACAGACGCTTCATAAGCACCTACGGCACACATTACATCCGCCAGGTTGAAACATACACATCACTTCTATCTTTGTCCACAGAAATTAATTTGAACATGTTTTTTATCTGAAGCATTTATTTAATTCCAGGCTCATCTTGGTGGGCGACTCAGGCGAGTTTCAGCTACACGTACCTGCTTGTCCAGACTGAATGGCCTCTCTTCATACCAGGTCTGTAGCACATATGTCTAGTGAAGGCAGTAAACGTAGACACATACACTCCTGTACCAACAACACCATTTAATGTCCCCTTCTTGTCATTCAGGCACATAACTGCTTATCAGTGGGTGTCAAAATAGGCCTGGGGAAGCTCAAATACTCCAACAGTCACAAGTCCTGCAGTAGAATCCTACGGAACTGGGACTACTCTACCTGGTCCAGCTCTGGACTTCACAAACATTATACAGAGGTAGTGGGAGGCAAAGGCTGGAATGGAGAGTTTTCACTGAGCCACAGCAACCCCTCGGGCTACCAGAACTGGCTGAAGACCCTTAAGGATCTACCCAGTGTTGTTAGGTATGACCTAAGGCCGTTGCATGAGCTGGTGCCCTCCGGGACACGAAGGACGGGGCTGAAGGCTGCCATAGAGAAGTATTTACTAGACAACGCCATCAGATCAACCAGACCACGGTTCTGTGGCCGTGTCCCCAACCTGGACGACAGCTGCTGTCCTAAACAGGCCCGGAGGGGAAGACTGGTGGTGACCATTGTCCGAGCTTGGAATCTGAAAGGAGACTGGCGTGGCAAGACTGAGGCGTGAGTAGAGATCAAGAGAAAATTCAGTCATAGGAAACTTCATGAATCAAATATTTCTACAGTTGCTCATCCATGTTTTTGTCAATGCACAGGTATGCTAAAATGTTTTACGGTTCCAATCACCGCCAGACCCGCATGATCAGATCCAACGACCCACGCTGGAACGCACGTTATGATCTGGGCAATGTCAGTACAAATCATTTTAACTCCATGTTTAGCTTCAGAAACAGCTGAGGTCAGTTAGAAAGTGTTTCTTTTTTTAAACATTTTGGAAATATGCTCATTTGAGAGTTGGATGAAAAGACTGATCAAATGCACATCTGTCTGAATGTTTTAATACGAATTATAAAACTTTACAAAACTGAAACATGGTTCAGTCAAAGCTGAGTTACAATAAAATCCAACTTTTTGACTTTGTAATTATTGTATGAAGTTGTTTCCAAATTTTAGTTTGATTTTTATTTCCTATCAGGGTTTCCCTGTTTTTTCTTTCTTTTCTTTTTTTCTTGGAGTAAAAGTAAAATGGAGCGTAGATTTAATAACAAGAAAAGACTTCCAGTTTACAAAGAGCAGCAGATGTTGTTCAAAGCAAATAAAAATAAATCTAAAAAATAAGTATTTTTACTCTCCACAAAATAGAGCTTCATCTACTCTCTCTCATGAAACATTGGATGGCAGCTAGCTGTTCTCATCTTGTGTTTTTTATGTGATTATTAGCTGTGAAAACCAAACGTACCTTTCAGGAAAATGTGATAAAAACACCATATATTACGTTTAACTTGGCTCACATGTTTTTTCCACAGGTGTACACCAGCTGGGGTCTGAAGATTGAAGTCTGGGATAAAGACTGGCGCAGAGATGATCGTCTGGGGTCATGTACGAAGTACCTGAAACAGGGGACAAACAGATTCACCTGCTATGCTAAGAAAGGCCACGTTGAGGTCGTGTACACGCTGACCTGTGACAATCACCTGACAGGAGACAGGTGTCACCAGTACAAACCGTCTGCATACTGAGAAATGCATTCTGGGTGTTACAATCTATGCAGGTTTGTCTGTAATCAGGTGTGATATCAGATCTGTTGATAAAATGCTACGAGGTGATCACACAGGGAGTCAGAGAGATAAATGTCACACTAAACTATATCATACATGGTGGCTCTGTTCATTCCTGTTCGGACTTTGGTGGTGGGTCCACGTATAGATCAAACTGTACCTTTGGCAAAGAAGCTGTTGATTATTTTTTGAATATGTTTTCAAAGTCAAAATCATGAAATCCTTGTCATAAGATGATTATGTTCGTAACAAATTTGTGTTGGCATTGTAGTGCCAATAAAGATTTTCAAAACATGCAAAATGTTTCTTTACAGCTCTTTATTAATGATTAATAGCAATTTATAACATTTTGGGGGACATAAAAATGTGCTTTAATAACTAATAACATATAAACATGTGAATATTAAACTTTCAAAATAGGAGAAAAGTATAGTTTAGAGGGAGATGATCTAACACTGGGATGGTGAAGAAAGGCACTTGAAAACAAATGAAATATTAAGTGAAAAATAGTGAAACCAACAGGACAGAACAAGAAATTATGCAGAGATTGGGAATTAGAAGAACAAATCTTAAATAAAAGTGCTAAGAAACTCTATAAATCTGTTATATTCTTTAAAATCACCTTGTAATGGTGGAAGTTGCTTATTTTTGTGTCACTTTGTGACTCTAAATCCCTCAGATCAGGTCACTTGGCAATAACCAAAAATGTCCTTTTGATTGAACAAGTAATAATAAGGAGATTAAAAACTGGTCACAGCATGAATAATACACAACTGATCACTGACATCAGTGTCAGAACAAGAGACAGTGGAGCAGCAGAAAGTGGGCCAAGTGGTTCCAGGTCTAGGAGGGCTCGGATGGTTGGAGGCCAGGGTTAAATCTGTGTCAGTGTGGCTACAGTGGAGGGAAGAAAATGAGTGTTTAAGTCTTTAAGACTGAAACAATATCAGCTAATAGTGGACAATTTAAACCAGAAGGCAGCAGTAATGCAGCTTAAAGGACACCAACTGCTGTAAAAACCCGCACAGAAGAATAAGATGCGTAACTTATGCATGACTCATGGTACACAAAACAATGCTGCATGTATAAGATGAATTCCTGCTGAACGCCATTAAAAAACTAGCAGTGTCTGTGTGGTTAACTGGCACCTACTGGATCATTAACCCTCTGGTGGTCTCTCCAGACATGAGCAACAGGAAAGACATACAGACGCTGTTAAGGGCTGCATGAGACCGTGTGCTGCGAGTCTGAAGAAACCAAACACATTTATTTGCATTAGTATCACAGCAGCATACACATTCAGACAGGCCAGGCTGTGCTGAAAAATGGGACCAGCGACTTGGTTGTGTTTGACAAGGATGAATTTGTCGAATGAAAACATTGAGCAAAACCCAAATGTATTGCATCACCACTTCCGGTGGTTTACTTGCTTTTTTTGTATATAAAATTACATCACTTTTAATTATGTGTATTATTAATTATCTCTTACTTGTATATATGCGCTATCAGTAATGTCCTGTGGTTGTCGGTGTCATGTGCCCATATGTGTTAATGGGGTCCAGCTTTGTAGACTCCTAGTCTAACTTCTCCGTACGGGGCAATGAAACATATGAAACTATTTTTGACAAACTAGTATCATTAAAAAAAAACCTGTTTGTTTTACCAGTGGAGCACAGAGGGAAACATTTACCACCTCAAGACCCTAAAAACAGACTTCTACAAAAGGTCAACATTTATCTTTCATTCACCAGGTTGGCCAGAGTCAGAACTCTAGACAAGTGCGTTGCTGGATGTGTTTGCCCAAATAACTTCTAGTAATGATTTGGAAAATATGGTTTGCTTTCTAGTGGATTAGAAGATGAGAAAACTAAGATTAAAAAAAAAGAGCAATACAGTCTTATACTAGCTAATTATGAAGCAATCAGGAAGCAATTAGTTTAGCATAAAGACTGGAAATGAAGGAACAGCTTGTCTGATGGCAACACAACCCACATACCAGAAACTAATTCTCAATACATACACAGAAAGGCTTCAAAAAATGTAACATGAACAAATGTAAAGAGTCGAGGAAGTCCCTATTCCCAGCCAATAAGCAATCCACATCATAACCTGCTTTAAAACGACACGCTATTTTTTCCCCACTTGCACGAAATAAAAAAAAATGAGATCATTCTTGAGTCCAGAAGTGCTTATAAGCATTTGGTTCTGTTCAGACACAGCTCGCTGCTCCTGCTGTTCCCAGTCTTATTTGTGCTTAATTAAGTTAACCATCTGCTGGCTGTAGCCTTAATGGACAGACACGAGAGCGGTGATGCTCTCATCTAACGCCTGCCTTTATTGTCGTGGCACATCTCCAACAGAGTAAATTACTTCTGTTACAGCTGGAATGTTTCAGTGCAACTAAAGCAAGAGTCTTTTTTTTTTTAAGTGAAATAATTCCAGAGTATTGCTGCCTCTGAGGAGGAAACACAATTCTGAAAACATCCTACAAAATGCCAGATGGGTTGTCCAATTACTTGCTGAGCAGTGATAATGAGTGCTTTCTGTATCTGAACAAATCCCACACAACACTGCTGCACTACCTGCTCAGCAGCAAACAGCAGACAGACAGTCGGCTGTTCACCGTAGAGGAACATTTAGTTAAAGATCCAGATGTCCTTCAGGGGTTGGTGGAGACCAAAAATGGAGCAAAAAGAGAGGGAATATTTCACTTAAATGCACCTGGAGGGTAAAAAACAAACAAACCAAAACAATGGTAGTGTTGCTTCCTGTATGCTTGATGTACCTGCTATGAGGTCATCATATTAACGTAACTCCAGGTACGTTGTGTCCTCCACTGACCCCCGGTGACCCCTCTCCAAAACCAACCAGGTGCTATAAGGTGTAGGGATGGGCAGATCGTTCCCACCCAAAGCATTAATGGAGCTGATATTAAGTTTTATTTTAAGTGTTAGTTTAGTCCATGACACCACATGCTGGGTTAAAGAAAATTCAACTTAAGACTGCGTTTCTATTTTTTTCCCTGGTGTCAGCATGTGTGAGGTACAGAAACCTCGTCAATTCAGAGAGCTTAGACTAAATGGGGGACACTACAGGTGAATGGGGGATTTGACAGATATAAATATGAAAATTCCCCAGTTGATTCTGATTTTGTATTACAAGTTTTCAGAAGCTTTGGGTCTAAATATACAAATAATGTATAGAAAAATATCCAGAACAGAAACAAGAACATTGGACTGAGCTAACTGGAGACTTTTTGTTTTATTTTGATGACATATTCCAAATCTTTATTTATTCATTTATTGATTTTTAATAAAAAGGGATTTTGGTATCATTTTTGTCCCTCAGTAAATCTGAAAATACTGTCAACAGCCAGTTAAAAAAAAATAAAAAATAAAAAAAAATAAAAAATCATCTTGTCTTTGTTTGTTTTTTTTGTTTGTTTGTTTTTTTTTTTTAGAAATCATGTGTTCTAAAAAAAAAAGCTCTGGCTGTGGATAATATATGAACAACTTCTCTTAGAAGAAAGTGAATCTAAGTGCCACTTACACAGATATGAGCAAGTAACTCATTTACAATTCATCATTTTTATCGAAAACCACAATTTACAGGTAAAAACTGAGTCTAATATCACCATGAAACTTCCCCAGTTGATCACTTATTATTAAAATTAATCATTTGTTTGAATTAAAGCTTTTATTCACGTTTATGCTCAAATGTGCAGATGAGGTATCACATCATTAAATATGCACTTATTCGCTTGCATACACCTACATGTGTATTATGGTTGTTTTCTTTACACTTGTTCTGGAAGAAAAAGACATATTGTGGAGGTAAAATGGCACAAAAATCATCTAGTGCATGAAAAAAACGATGTTCATGACTGAGAATGGTAGAAAATAAATCAAATATTTTCCTGTTGGTAATGCATTCATCTTCTAAATCATATTTCTCTCTTTTACATGACACGACAATGGATGTGATCAATAATAATAATAAAATAAAAAACATTATTGTGGGGTTGTTATTGGAAACCACGACGTGCGGCTCATTTTAACCAGAGACGTGGAAGCGGTCCTTCCTGCTCGGGGCTGTGTGCTGCTTTCTGCCCTGCCGGCGGGGTGTCCGTGTAAAACCTCTAATGAACTGCCCCCTCTCATGTCTCCATGCCTCCTGCGGTCGCAGCTTTCCTGTGCGGACTTTACGCGCTGCGTAAAAAGCAGCTCCCGCCGCGACCGCTTCATTCTTTCCTCTCATCTGTGATTGAAGCGGAGCAGCCCGGAGGCGGCGGCTCCTTTGGGTGTGTGTCCGTCCCACAGAACGACGGGACTCACCGTCGGACACACGTGTGTCTCATTTGGCCCTGACAGCTCCGCTTCCTCCACAAGGAAATGATGGAGGAGGAAAGTTTGTGACGCCTCTGCCTTTGGTTCGGGACTGTCCGCAGGAGGAGGAAAAAAAAACTGCAGAGCGTTTTCGATTTGCGCAGTTTTCTCGCCCCTTCATCGTCCGGATTCTGTAAATCTGAGAAATCTGTATGGATTTGGGATTACCAGGGTCTCCGACAGTGAAATGTCTCAGCGGTGGAAATGCAGCTCCACGCCTGTCTGTTGCTTTTTATCATCACAACAGGTAAGAACATCTGGCAGCCACAGATCTGCTCTGGAAGCCCGTCAGCTCAGACTGCTCTTCATCTGACTGTGTAGCCGCCTTTAAAACGTTACAGTCTACAACGGGCACGTTTGTAGCTCAATGTGATGTTTCATTATCGGTACACGAAGCCACAACAGTGCTCCTGTGCTGTCAGCATGAAGTGGGTTGTTAGTTTTGTGCACAGAGCTTTGTGGTAACGTGAATGCCTCAGATCTCAGGTTCAAGGGGTAAGAAATGAAATGGGAATGATCTGTTATATGAAACTGAATCATTATATCTACATTCCTCTTGTAATGGATTGAAATGTTTGGGTGTTTTTTTTGCCATTTTGTTCTTCAGAAGCCTTCAGATCAGATCTTATGAGAATGAAGAACGGCCTTCTGGTTGAACTGACAGCATTTAGATGGTGCAACAGAAGAAAAACACAAACACAAAATAAAGTGTAAGAACCCAACAGGAATGAACAACTAATTATACAGAGGTTAAGAATTACAAGAACAAATCTTAAAATAAAGGGAACTAGGACCGGAAGGATCTGTCATCCATTACATTCTCTAAATTCCTCTTTTTCTGGTTTTTATTTTTGTGCCATTTTGTGCCTTAAAATCCATCAGATCAGGTCATCTGACAACGAACAACGTCATTTTGGTTGAACTTTCGTCAACTAATGCCCACAGATGTCTAAATTAACCATTTATTTTAATCAAACAAACGTCAGAAGATTTATGCCGGAGCACTATCCTCTTCAACCAGCTTTCGTTTTCTCTCTCTTCAGATAAAATATTGGCCTCGTCACACCTTCATTGTGGTGGAAATGTCATCCTGGACCAGGAGCCTGCAGGCCGCATCAGCCTCACTTCACCTGGACGTTTTACCGACACCAGCACACTCGACTCCGTGAAGCAGGAGTCTGAGGAACCCTTCCAGGCTTCAGTTTGCACTTGGATGATAGATATTCCTCTGGGGAGGACGGTACTTCTAAAGCTGGAACGTGGCTCCAACATATCGGTGCGCTGTGTCTGGAACGAGCAGACTCGGGTCTTGGAGAGCGGAGGGACGACTCTGCTGTCCGGCTGCGACAGAAACAAAGCCGCCCTCACTTGGACGAGAGCAGGAAACTCGACGAACGGGGTTCAGTTGGCTTATTATGGTGAGAAAGCGTTCATCAGCTACGCAGTTTAATTTATTGAGTCAGCGTGGCTCACTTGCTTTCACTTAGCCTGATCACGAGAGCCTGATGATCTAATAGTTGTAATAACATTTGGATCAGACTTGTTTTGAGCAGCAGAGGTACATGGGCTTATTTACGCTGCATGCTGTGAAATCGTGTTGTTCAAAATGTGCTGCGAGCCGTCGGAAAGTTTTTATCACACTCGCCGCCATGTGTGAGGCACAGAAATGTTATGTTGTTGTGGTTTCCACTCCGTCTCTCCTCACTCCGTCCCTCTCTGTTTTTTTGTTTCTTCCTGGTCGTTCAGTTCAGGAAGATGGGAGGAATTCCTCGGAGGACGGCTCAACCCGCCATCCAGATCCTTCTCGGTGGTCTCAGACAGGAACCAGCTTTACAAGTGCTGCTCCCGTTGGTCAAGACGTGGTGAGAGGCACCGAGGAGGGCAGAGGTCGCTTCTATGAAGGTCAGGAGTGGAGCTCTGGGCCTCAGTCTGTGGACCAGGGCCTGCTGCTCCCCACCTCACCCCAGCATCGACAGCCTGTCTCTGGGAGAGCCGATAGGGAAACTCTCCCTCTTCCTGAGGAAAAACTAAACAATGGAGCGGATACATCTGGAGCTGCTCACCTCACTGATCGTCCCATGACTGCCAGAGAGGGAACACGCCCGTATGTTGTGAATGCGTTCAGTACAGACAGCGAATCAAACCCCAGTGATGAGATCCCCCATACCCAGATGACAGATGCAGCAGGCAGCAGCTCCAGCGCCTCGCCTGGCACAGAGGCACCCAAATATACATCCACTGAGACGCCGAAACACACAGACAAACACAGCTCCAGCTTTCATCCTCTCACCTCCTCCTCCCCTGAGCTGCCGTCCAGGACGATCTGGGAGTTTGTCGTCCCACGTGGTGGAGCTGTTAGCGGGACACCTGGAGATAAACAGCCTCCCTCCTGGAGGAGCCTGCGAAGCACAGACAGACTCGCTTCTGATCTGACCTCCATCACCACCACCTCCGACCCTTTGAAATCATCCAGCAAACCTCCGCAGCATGAATCACGCGGTGACACTGGACCCACTTCATCATCCTCGCAAGGCCCCGGCAGCGTTCAATCATCCACCACCCACATCACAGAGCCCGACGCTGCTGTTGGTACTGTGGAGGCTGCTTCGCTTGATCCAAACACAAGTCCGAGTGAGTCATTTGTATCAGATGTTACCGCTCAGACTGCTGCATTTGAGTGGTTTGATAAGACAGCGATGACGACTCCAACAAACTCTCCTCGAAGCGCAGAGAGCCTCACGGACTCTCCGTTTACTTCTTCTCCATTACAAACACAGACAAGCAGCACAGACGCACAGACAGAAAGCACACAAAGACATTTCATGACCGACAACACCGCCTCCTCATCACCTGACAACACCGATAAACAGACTTCTGGTTCCACTGGTTCTCCTCCTGCTCCCACGGCACCACTGATGGTGGGAGTCCAACACTCGACTGTTACGGGAGTCACAATAGAAACGTACACACTGCATCCTACACACTTGGACGACAACTCGCTCACAGATTCACCAACTTCTGCTCCTCTTCTGTTGTCCGGCTCATCCACGGACTCCTCTACACCATCGTACTCGCTCCAAACACACACTGTTTCTCCTGATAGTTCGCAAACAGCTTTGACCTCCTCTGGCACTGACTCCACCGGGCACACAGTCGTTGCAGACCACAAAACCACACCTGCCCCTTCGCAAACATCCCCTCATACACACAATCACCTGCATCTGCCGGCTTCTACTGACACCTCCCGTACACATGAGCAGTCCTACAGCGCGGCCACTACTGCTGCACCTGCCCCCGTGCTCCCGCTTACAACTATAAAATCTGATTATGGAGACGAGGAGGTAAAAGTAGAGACAGTGGCCGACTTCTGGCTGTGGACTCCCAGCAACACAACTGCACACAATCCCACAGCTGGACCGCCTCCGCTCCAGACGACCCCACATCCCAGCCAGGAGAACCATTCTACGGTAACAGTTTCAACTTTACCCTCCACTTGGAGCTCCACAAACAGTCCCAAGTTCTACATTGTGCCCGACCAGGCTGCTGCCATCAGAGGTACTGTGCACATCATTTTTGTGTTTTTTTTTTTTTTGCCGTTCAGTATGCAGGTTGTGCATCCAGGCCTATTGTAATGTGGTTATTTTGCTTGTTCTGTCCAGTGGAGTCAATTGAGCTGCTGCTGCAGATAGTTGTAGAGGAGTCCAGGTCGGCTTTAACCGCCGGCTTGGAGGAAGACACTGCTGTCTGGGTGAGGGACTGTACGCAGGCTGGCGTACACTAGAAAAGCACACATAAATATAACATTATACAGCGCCTTTAGTACATTTGGTAGCTTTTGCAACCTTTTGACCTTCCTGTTTCTTTCAGGTGGAGCCGTACCTCCAAAAAGCCCCGGGGTTCAGCAGGCTGCTGGGCGTCTGGAGCAGGTGAGCTGGTGTAGACGGATCCAAACATTCTAGGTTGAAATTAGCCCCAGTTCTTCCAGTGAAAAGCAAGTTTTTTTTAAAGGTTCATTTATGATGTTTTTTCAAAATAAACAGTCAACACCATTAGCAGTTTGACAAACACAGATCAAAGGTTTCATATGTAACAGTTATAAAGAACAAATCCTGTCATCGTGTCAGAGTGAAACTTTTTCTATCATTCTTCTGCAGAATTTGTTTTCAGTTTGAACATGTATGGCTGAGTTACTCCAGTATTACAAGTCGTCATTGTGTAGCGCAGAGTGGTTTTACAGTGTTTGAACAGACTTGTAGGTGAGCTGGTGTGCTCAGGTTGCCCATGAGAAACTTCATAGATCTGCACGTTCTAGAGGAAGCAACAGTGTACGGCTACATCGAAGTCATTTCAGGGCAACAAGGGATTATTTTCATGGAAAAAATAAATCATATTTTATTCTGATACACAGCTATTTTTTAAGCCACAGACCCAAGCATCACATCAATAACAAAAAGAAAGAAAGAAAGAAAGAAAGAAAGGAAGGAAGAAAATATTTCCAGAATACAAAAAAAGGGGTCGGCACACACTGCCCAGTTTACAGCCTTTTATTTTGCAAACTTGCTATTGTGTCTTCATTAAAGTCAAACAGACAGGAGACAAGTGCATAAATACATCCCCAACACCGTGGCAGAAACACAGACCACTGTTAAAGTTGCAGAGACAGAAATACAGAAGAAAAGACAATTTACCCTTTTTACTTTGTTTGCACAATTCAAGGTATTTAGCGGTGTGTTCCAGACCTCAGGAAATTTGCTGTCTTCATGCAGATAAACACCTTTTGCAGCTGTCTTTTGCTGTAAGATGTATAGAGAACCCTGATTCCACTAAATGATATTGAAGTATTTCCAGAAGAAGAATAAATGTAACATATGTTGACACATTTTAAGACTTGGTTCATGCATAAGTCAAACAAGGAGACATGTCGTCTTCATCTACCGTCTTGGTTCATGTCAGGAAAAAGAGGGGAAATACCTTCAGAACAATGAGAGGTGCTGTTAAACAGCTCCCTTGGCTTTTCTGAAGATGACCAGGTATTTGTTTTCTCGAAACATCAAATGCTTATCTCTCTAATCGGAGTAATAAAAGCTGGGCTGGCTTGCTGAAGGTTGTTTAAAGAGAGGTTCAGAAGCTGAATGTGTTCTGCTGGTCTTCCAGTGGCCACGCGGTGCAGAGTCTGGTGGAGTTTCAAACCAGGGAAGCTCTGCAGTGGCTCAGCATGGAAGGACCCTCATCACTGCTGGAACAAACGGGACTGGCTCAGGCTGTTCGCGAGGGAAAGACGTTCAGATCCTCCAAGATCACCAACATCACGCTGGGAGGTAAGCCAAGGCTGGGATACCTGCCCACAGACAGCTGACTGAAACCCTGGTGGCTTTAAAGATGGAGTCTGTGATTCTGGAGAAAGACTAGTGATACTCAGCAGTTAACATATTTACATAGCATTAGCTTTCACAGAACACGCTGGGATAAAGTCGCGTGCCTTCACAGAGCCGATGCTGTGTACAAACATGGGATTTTTGTTTTCAGCGCTTACGCAGAACAGACCACGAAGAGGGTTCTCACCTAATTTGACAAAAAGCGTATTGGATTAAAAGGCGAGACTGGTTGGCAACTTCCCCTCATGTCCTGTCATCTTTCTACAGTTAATGGCCAAAAAATACGCAAAATGTGGCAGATTGAAGGTCAGCTGCAGTGGAAATTCCATTCGTAACCTCTTTACTTAATTAACTCAATTCCAGGCAGAGTCATGCAAACATCGTAACTCAATTAGACGGACTCTGTTGAGTTCACAATCCAATAAGAACAATCTGATTATCACACTAGGCTCTCTCTAATATTCAACTTGTAAGGGCATGTAATGATCATATTCCTTTAAGTGTTGGTGTTTACCATTGGAACAAATACAGAATAGTCAACCTACGCCGCATGTTGACAGCCAGTAAATACCAAATATATGTACTGATTATTTCATTAGCTAATCCCCTACCCTTAATATTTCCAGTGAATTTTATCTACTTTGTTATCACTGACATGCAGACAGATTCTCCAAAGATGATACCAGTAATATTTTGGATTTTTTTTTACATCATCAAAGGCCTTCAGTGAACTGATCCTACTTCTGTGTGTTTATCCAAATATATACTTTATTTCTCTGCTCCAGCAAATGTTTAGTAAGATCATTGTTTACTGTTTTCACCATCTCAGTGTGTATCCTACATCCATACTACACTTTGGTACAGCGTTTCAGCATGTCACATAGCCTTTAGCCTCACTTTGCTGTATCATTTTTCTATTTTTTTTATAAATAACAGTGCTGTTTCACCATCACCCAAATTTTAGACTCATTTATCAATACATTTTTTACATATTGCATATTTTATGTGGTCGCTGTCTGGTTTAAGTAGACTTCATTTAGCCTTTGGCAAGTCTTAAGAGCTGATAAGTATATTCTGCCACATATACAATGATTTTAAAGAATCATTTTAAGAACTCTTAAGAACTTATGTGCATGTATCTTTATGCTTCTATTCGACTGCAGTTCAGACAGAATGTTTTTACTCTATTCGCCGATATGGACTTTTGGAACTTTGGGTCTCCAAATTGTGATTTTATTTTGTTTTTGTATTTATTTGAGCAGGGACCATTCATTCTTACAGAGAAAACATCTGATGTATTCCGTATAGAGTGTATAGCATGAAACTAATTTTCAACTCCCGTCCCTGTTTGGGGGACAAAAGACCAACAACACCAATAAAAACAGCACAGGCAACATTATAACTCTGACAGAGGCTTTGAAATGTACTTTGAAATACATTTTGGTGGTAATTTCTACAGTATTTTTACCACAGTCATAACTGAGCGTTTTTTTCCGGGGACAAGGAGTTTCAGACTACCTTATTTTAGACGTTCACCACAATGGGTTCAAAATGTGCTCCACAGAGCCCTGGACCCGCCCCTAGCTCATGACATCCAAGATGGCAACGGCCAAATGCCAAACTTGAGGCTTCCTTCTTCCTTTCCAGCGTCCCAAGCACGAACACAAACAGGCACAAGACAAGTTGGAGTACGGTTGTGTGGATCGCTCCAAGCACATTTACAGAGCCAGGGCCGTGTACGAACACCAAATGTTTGTCAGCATGCACACAGAATGGACAGTTATCACACCATGAGAAGATATTTTGATTTAATTTTGAACCCAAGAAGCTGTCAAGTGAAAAAACAGACCTGGTATAAGCTGTCAGTGTAAGGAAATCATGACGAATTTCAAAGTAAATCAATTAAATGTAGTGTGCACAGAATGTTTGTATGATCTTACAATACATTTAAAATATTCCTTAAAGGGGAATTTTTTTTTTTTTTTTTACAGAATAGAAAGAAAAAATAATTATCATCAAAGGACACAAAATGCTCCCTGAGTTGCACAATGGCAGTCAGCAAGTGCTAGAAATGAATTTGTGGTAATCCACTTATTAATATGCAATCGTGAACCGTTGAGTGAGACAAAATTCAAGCTGCCAGCTGAATTATGGAGGAGGATGCATCCACTGGGTTTTGACATTTTGCGAGTTGACAATCTGGCCTGAGAGTGCCGAGCGGTCATCGCACCAAGCCTTTCTCGTGGCAGATGTTGGCAGGTGTAACTGGTGACAGGAATGATGGCTGCCTCCAATTATTTGTTCGCGTGGGGCCCTGTTGTCATGCACGTCTTAGAAGTGGACGAGCCCACAACCTGCGGCTTTGTTTACTTGTTGAGATCGGTGGCTCTGACCACATGACTCTCATCTGTGGGAATGAACAAAAGATTCTAAGTCAGACACTCAGTGTTTATGTAGCATCGATGTAAAGCTTTAGTCTATTTTGAAAAATGGCAAACATCAGGAGAACGTTTAAGGTTCATAACTGGACTTGAGATCCGTTTTGGCTGTGGCTGTTCTTTCCTCTGCAGCCACTATCTGAAAAATGCTTTTGGTGATAACATTGTGTGTGTGTTTGTGTTTTCATTCCTCAGAGTAGCTGTCTTATTGCTTTGTAGAACAATTCCATTTTTGCTCTGCTCTTGTAGAAAACCTTAAACCATAAGTTCTGCATGTGGCGTAGTCTTTTTTTTTCACACTAAACTAGGATTTTTGTGTAAAATATATCTTGTATGTTGTTGCATTAATATTTCCCTTAATTTGAACTAAATCAGAGGTCAAGGTTTTTTTCAGTTGATGTGATAAATATAGTATCACCCAATGTGTTGTCAGAGGAAACCAAGAAGATATCAGTGCTGCTGACCCAAGTCCTTTTGAGGTGCTGAGTGCAGCTCATTAAATTTCTCTTCTTCTTTTTTTTCCCATTTTTCTTCATTTTGTCTTTCTCTTTCTTTCTTTGCTTCTGCTCTTCCTCTTTCTCTTTCTTCTCTTCTTGCTACGTGAACTCCTTCATATTAAATGCGTGGTCATGAATACAGGAACACAATATATTTGTTTATTCCACTAAACTATGAAACTTGTTGATCTTGCAAGTCTATATAATGATTAGCTGAACCAGTGCACATAAAGCTGGTTGTTCTGAAGACTTTGAGTTTCTCCTTTTAAACAATTTCTCACAGAGCAGCCTCCACCTCCTACACCCTCCTTCATCTTTCATCGCAATCAGCAATTTCCTCATTGATGCCGGCCTCTAGAGGGTCACACACGCTCCTCCGTTCTGCTTCACTCCTCGTCAGTTCCGTGTCTTTTTGAGCGAGGCGGTCCAGGGTCTCCACATGAGCTTAAGCACAAGTCCTCTGTTTTCTTGTGATCCTTTTGAGGAGCTTGTCTTTTGTTCTTCTTGGAACCGGCTCGCTTCTGGCCTTCATCCATCTTCCAGGAGCAGAATCTCCTTCTGTACAGATCTGCTGTCCTCCTGGGAGATGTTATTTCTTTGATAGCAGAGTAGAAGGCATCTCTCAGTCCCTGCATACTGAGTTTTGAAGGAGCTGGTCAGTGTACTGCTTCGCTAATTTGGGAGCAAAAAGGGACCACCAAACTGCAGGGACCGAACTGCCTGAATGATTTAAATGTGAATGTAATTAATTCTAACAATCAATGCAGGAAAACACAACCTGAATACTTATTTATACATATAAAACTCCTTTTGTCTAAGAACAGGACTCCTTGGAGTGTTTCTCAATTCAGATCCCTACATGTTTAATGAAAAGCATGCCAGATTATTTTTTAAAAAGTGCTTACAAATTCCTTTTTAGTTACACTTTGGGTGGTTTGAGTTTGGGATGCAATGCTTAATGAAAGCTGTGACACAGTGACTTAACAAATTGTGAAAGTCCATCTGCTTCCTCGTAAATTTAGGAAACAAAGCATGGAGAAATGGTACAAAACACAATGTCAAACATTTCTCCGGCTCAAATGCTTGAGTTGAATCTTCTGTCCAACATTTTGACCAAAACAGAGATACTTGTCAGTTCTGGTGGTTGAATAGAGTTTTGTGCAGAAGCAAGAATCCAGCCAAGATGTAGGATGGAGTCTGATGTGAGGATGTAACAGTGGAACGTTCTCATCATGTCACTATACAGAGCTCATGACAGGAAGGGATGGTTGGGACAATGTGGATATAATTGTACCTTACATGAATATGTTAATTCATGCAACTTCTACCAGACTACATTTAAGGAAATATAGTTCTTTTTAGGGCTGTAAGGTGGCTCGGTGGTTAGCATCATTGCCTCACAGCAAGAAGGTCGCCAGTTCGCATCCTGGTGAGGACACCAAGGATCTTTCTGCGTGGAGTTTGCATGTTCTCCCCGTGCAGTGTGGGTTCTCTCTGGGTTCTCCAGCTTCCTCCCACACAGTCCAAAAACATGTTGAGGTTAATTGGTGATTCTAAATTGTCCGTAGGTGTGAATGTGAGTGTGCTTGGTTGTCTGTCTCTAAGTGTAGCCCTGTGATAGGCTGGTGACCTGTCCAGGGTGTCCCCTGCCTTCACCCTGAGTCAGCTGGGATAGACTCCAGCCCCCTGTGACCCTAGTGAGGATTAAGTGGTGTATAGATGATGGATGGATGGATGGATGGATAGTTTTTTTTATTCCACGACAATTATTTGACTGCATGACAAATGCTACATATGTCTACACCAGTTGGTCCCAAAGTGAGGGTCAGGACCCCCTAGAAAGTCACGAGACATTAAAAGAAGGGTCATGAGGTGATTTTCCAAAAATCAAATAACATTCCAAAATGATTAGATAAAACATATTTTGTTATGTATTCTGGTAGTAGCCTGTAAAATAACTGCAAATTAATATTCTGATCGTTAGACTGTTGTGTACGTTGGTGTTGTCATTATGTGTGTGTTTGGATAGGACTATCAGTGTATTTGTGCAGCTCTGTACAGTGTTTGTAGACGTTATCTTGGGCTTTGGGGGGCTGAAAAGTTTGCTCCACATTAGTAGTGAAGGGCTTTGATGTTTTTCTCAGGCAGGAAGATGCCCATGGAGATTCTGAATATGTGGCCAGTTTATTCAAATGATGCCTATTCTGAAATTTTGCTGAGACATTTCCGGCTACCTGCTGTGTGAGACTGTTTACTCATCTCTGCGGCAGCGTCTGCTGTCATTAACATCCTTATCACAGCAGGTTCTTGGCATTTTACCGTTGGCTGCAGAATAACTAAAATACTCTGATGGCTTCTCTCGCTTTCCTGGATTATTATAAATCAATTTATCCAAGGATAAATCAAGAAAATAATCCACTAAAGTTAAAACTATAGTTCAATCTCAACCAACTACAATAACAAAATTCTATTTAGATATTAATGTCTGGGTAATGTGATTAGTGATGTTCGCTGAAAACTGCAGTTCTCGGTTATTTTTGGACGTGACCTTTTGTTTTTAAACAAATTAGCTATAGATTTATGACCCGTTTTTTGAGATGAATGGTCCTCGAGTGCCGCAGACGGGGAGGGGGAGTTGAAAACACAATAGGGGTTTAGATTTTCTCATGAGATATGTTGACAATACCAAACATAAAGAGCAGCCCCAGCTTTATTGTTGAACAACGTCTTCCCTCCAGGGCTGCAGGGTGATGTGTGCGACTGGTTGCTGCAATGCCCCGCAGGCTTTAAATGTGTGTCCCAGCCTGGCTCTTCAAACTACAGCTGCTCCTCTGTCTGCCACTCCGACTACTGCCACCACCACGGCATCTGCACACACCATCCAGGCCAGCTTCCAGTTTGCCGGTAACAACATGCACACAAAAAGCACATCTCTCTGTTCATCCAGGAATGATTTGCGTAGTTGACTTCTTGTTTGTGTGTTAGCTGCCTTGTAGGTGAGGACTTCTGGTTCATGGGTCAGAGGTGCGACACGAGGATGACTCGAGCGCGACTCGTGGGCGCGTGTCTCGCCGTCTTACTCATCATGGTGACACTCATCGGTGTTTTGGCCTTCGTGGCAGTGCGACGCTATCGAGCCATTCTGATCCAGGCCAAAGTGGACCAGACTCGCAGCAGGTATACACCCACTCAGGGGAACGCATGGATAGTAGCAGCTCGGTGCTGATACTGAATTTGTTTAGATGTTTGGTTGTCTAGGTGGACTAGTACAGAGAAACATGTTGAACACAGTGTTTGGTGAGCACTTCCAAGGGATCCTGGGTGGAATTTGAATTGTAAAAAGTAAAAACCTACAAATTAAGAGACAGCAATTCATAGCACCTATTAAAAATGACTAATTTGGCATAAATGGCAAGAAATAAAAAAAAAATAGAGGACATTATGTGTTGTGAACCTGAGCTTGAAGCACATGCAGTAATAATAGTCTCCACTAGGTGTCACAGTCTGGCTGCCAAACCACAGACTGAGGACGAAAGCAGCAGTACAGACAGTTGGAAAGTGCTGAGACAGTCTGGCTGAACCTCAGCGTCCGACCTCCAGATTTGCAGACAGTCCTCAGTCTTACCTTCTGTGACATGTTCAGTGTTGTCACGTTAAGTCTGTGAGGGCGCTTTGCCAGGAGGGGATCAAATCTGCTCGTAGACAGGACTTTAAAACCTCACTCACGTCCATGATGATGAATCAAAATCTCTGCTGCCCACTTCAATGTTTATGTTTGAACCATGTTCAAAGGTAGGCCTTCTGGCACGGGCAATTTATGAAAGATAATCCTCAGCACATTAGCCAACTTATACATCAAAAATAAATCCTGCGGTTTCCAAATTCTGTGTATCTTACACGGTAAGACCGGTGGTTCTGCTTCATTATTATTATTATTACTCATTTCTTGTCACATCTATGTTGTTATGAACTGCGGGCGTTCTTCCAAGTGAAGTCTGGAGAAATCTACACCTTGTGGATTTGAACAGTCCTCCACTAATGTGTTGAAGTGCAGCCAGTTGGCTTCAGTTTCTTAAAGCTGTACAAGCCACGATTTTTGTGTTGAAACGCTCCACGTCTGAACCTCAATCACAAAGGTGGACTGCATGAGACATGGTCTCATCCACCTTAACTGAGCCACTGTTGTGTTATTCTGCTGTTGAGATTAATATCTAACACTGGCTACTCACACAGACAGACAAAGTTCAGACCGGAAGCTGCCTTAAATCCAGAGTGTCTCCTTAAAAGAAAGAAGAGTGTTTTTGGCAGAGACAGTTGGACTCCTCAGATCTTGGGCTGTATTCACAAAACACCCTCAGGCTAAAAGTTACTCATAGCTGTCTGAGTTAGGGGGAACTTCTAAAAATAAGAGCAACATGCCCCCCCAGCCCCACCCCGTTTTTGTTTTTTTTTTTTTAAATCCAAGTTTAAATAATTCACAGAGCATCTTCTAAATCTGAGAAAAGTTAGTCGGTCCACATTATTCAGCACATGAACAATCCAGTTCTCCTGGTAATTTGCCTGTTAATGACAATCATTTGGAAAAATACAGCAACAAAGGTCATTCAAAAGCAATATATTTTGAAGGGGTAAGTTTGGAAAGATTCCTCATACGCATTTGTTAATCTCAGCAGACTATGAATGGTTGTTCAGGTTTCTAAATAATCCATGAACGGCAGATTTTAGAGTTTGAACATCTCTGCATTCTAAAAAAAATAATATGTGCTGCATTGACAAACTGCAACACCCCAGAATTATCAACATAACCAAAATGCACTCTTCAGGCCGGAGTTCTCCTGTCAGTATGTTCACTGAACAGCAACCCTGTCGATAATGAACAAACACGGCTGGTTTCAGGGCCGTGGCTGGATTTCCAAGTAAAATCAGCGTTTCCCAGTAAACCACCCTGTTAAAGTACAATTTGTTCTGTCAGCTTAAAAAAATATCACATGAACGCTTTTTTTGTTTCGTGTGTAAAAAAACAAACTCGGTTGTTAACTTATATCCTCCTGTCTCTACGTATTAGTGAAATGGAGTTCACTGTGGCCGTTTAGTCACCTGTCGCTGTGACACATAGTAAGGTCATTCATGAAACATGATGTCATCCACTGCCACCAACTCCACCCCTTCCCTTATCTTAAGAGTTCTTTGTTCCTTTCTAAAGCTTTCTCTCAGCAGCTATGTAAATCCCTTTAAAGAGGGAACTCCTACTCATTAGAAACTTGTAGCGTCATTTAGTAGGTGAGATAAGCTCCTCTGTGACCAGGGCCATAAAGGTCATTTTACAGCATGTCATTAGGTAATAACCACACATTATAAAGTGTTCCCTCCTACCAATTGATTTTTTGAGACCTTCAAAACTGACATTGAATGGTTAAAAAAAACAAAAAACGGTTACGTAAGGCATATATATATTTATTCGCTCATGTCCAGATCTGATTGAAGCACAATAAACCTTGCACCCGGTGACTCTTTAGCCTCACCTGATCTGTTATGTGTGCAGCTATCGCAGGTTCAACCACTTTGACGAGCTGTCCGGTCGGTTCTGGTTGCGCTCGTGGGCGGGTTCAGCGGACTCGCTGGACAATCCCGCCTTTACGCGCTCCGATGAGTTGCTGCATCTGCGAGCGCTCGACCGCCCCTGCTGTTACCACGACGACACGCTGTCGCTGGCTTCCACCTGCCCCAGCCATGGAGCTCACATTAATACCATCTACCCCCACAGGTACACGCACACCGGAGTACGACACGTGAACCGAAAAACTTCACTGTTCCATGAAACTGTTTTTGGAGCTTGAAAACATACAACAGCAATTTTCACATTTGCCAGAGGATTATGAGCATCTATCAAAATGTAATTTAAGACAATTCAGCTTTAGAATCTCTGTAGTTCATCAGCCAACCGGATGAAATCGACGTAAAATACATCCTACAGCATACATATGAGATAAGTAGTTGCCCCTGTTTGGATTTCTTTGGTCTTTGTTTGTATTTCAGGAAAAAATTGGGAACAAAATAACATATTTAGGAAGCAAGTAAGTAGTAAAATATGTCTAAAATTCCTCAAATAGCCACCCTTTGCTTCAATACCTGCTTGGTGCACTCTTTATTCTCTCGACCGGCTTCATTAGGTCATAACCTGGAGCTTTTCCAACAGCCTTGAAGGAGTTCCCACATATGCTGAGTCCTCGTTGGCTGCTTGTTATTCTCTCTAACTGATCCCAAACCATTTAAGCTAAGTTTAGGTCACTGATTGTGGAGGCCGGGACTCTTCTTAGTCAAACAGCCTTCACAGAACCTGGATTTGTGCTCTGGCTCATCGTCCCGCTGACAAACAAATGAAAGCTGCGACCAGATGGGATGGAGTGTCGCTGCAGAATGTTGTGGTAGCCGAGTCGGTTAAGTGTTGCCGTGATTTCTGAATAAATCACCAACAGCATCACTGACAAAACGCTTCCCACCATCGCACCTCCGCCTCCACGCTTCACAGTGGGAGCCACACATGCTGATACCATCCGTTCACCTTCTCTGAGTCTCACACAGACACGGCAGTTTGTAAAAAATCTCACATTTAGACTCATCAGACCAAAATCCAGACTTCTACTGGTCTAATGTCCATTTTTTTGTACTTCTTGGCCCCCAAGCAGTTCCCTCCTCCTTATCGGTCTGCCTCATAAGTGGTTCCTCTGCTGCAATTTCACCAGGAAGGACTGATTCAGACAGTCGCCTTTGAAGAAGTTGATGTTGGGATGTGTCTGCTACTTCACCTCTGGGAAGCATTGATGTGGGCTCTAATCTAAATTGCTGTTAATTAGCAATATCTGAGGCTGGTAATGAACTTCTCCACTGCAGCAGATGTACCTCCAGGTTGTGTAAGGGCTATTCGACCAAGAAGGAGAGGGATAGAGTGCTGGTTTGGGATAAGTTGGGCTGCAGAGTGGAGGAAAAGCAGCCAACAAGTACTCAGCATATGTGGGAAATCCTGCAAGACATTTGGAGGAGCTCCAGGGGACGACCTCATGAAGTTGGCTGAGAGAATGCGAAGCTGTTATCAAAGCAAAAGTTGGCTACTTCAGTGAATCTAACACATATTTTGAACACTTCTTTTATGTCCTACATTAGATGTGTTAATAGTTCTGATGGCTTGAGTTTTGTTCTACTGTGCAGAAAATAGTAAATATGAGAGTCCTGAGATTGAGCAGGTGTGTCCAACTTCTTCAACTGCTTGGGCAAACATCTGCTCTGCTGTGGCTAAATGCTCCCACATGCTGACCAGCTACCTGTTACTGTTACTCTATTCTCTGCCTGCCATGTAAAGCCAAACAGGTGTTGCACAGTAAGTTTCAGAGATTGTTCATGAACCAAACTCACCGTCATATCATCAGTATCAATTAAAAATACAGACCAATAATTTCTCTAAAAAAAGGAAATTCTAAATCCTCAAAACATGCAGGTGGGTTTGAGGCCAATAAAGGCCTGTTATATTTAAAAACTTACAAAAATTGCACTATTTATCAGAACAGAAACTATGATAACAGCTTTGTAACTTTGTTTTAGAAACAGTAAAAAATATATATTGTTTAAAAAAAAGTTTAAAAAATTATATATATATTTCTTAAAAATGGATAATGTCTGATTTAAAAAAAATCAAAAAAATAACAGTTTGCACAATCAGACTCTGTAAAAAAAAAAAAACACAGCAAATTCTGCACTCCTTTGCGCAGCCATGAAGACATTAGTGACTCAGTTGCAGTCGTGACGAAAATACAGAGACTGTTAGACTCCACTGGGCTAAACTGCAAGCTGTAGTTACACAGGGCACAAAGAGCAGGTATGAAAACGAATGTAAATGTCGATGCAAAATTGTATGTAGTAATGTAGAGCACACAGAGTCACGAGAATCCAGTATTGGGAACGCCTGTCGGCACATGGTACACGTTGCCTCCAGGTTATTTCATCAAACAAATTCACCTTTTCTTTTTTTAAATTTATTGCCATTCTAATTGTGTCACACTGCACGGACGACATTTTGACTTGTCTCTGTTTCTAGTCATGGTTGTGCTGTTTCAATGGAGTGGAGGACTTTATATTGCAGACAACAATCTACTTACAGTGATTAAAATGTGACAGGAGCAAATGAAACGTCCAGAAACTGCTTGGGGTTCAAGATTACAAGATATTTCTGGATCTTTCATAACTATTACCATAAACTATATATATAGAAGACAAACATAGTCTCTGTGTCTTAAAAGTGAATTTAAAGTGATTTAAACGTGCATTCTTCACAACAGCAAGCAGGAGTAACTCCTCTCGGTGTAAAAATAAGTCTGTTGCATCAAAGTCTGTGAGAAAATGACCCCACTTCTAAATTCATTTGTTACCTTAACAAACATTTTCCTTCAGAGCTTCTGGTCTCAATTGCTTCGTTCAAGCCTCCTTCAATACAGCATGATGTTCATTTAGTAAAGTATGGCTTCATTTAGAGTAAAATAGACGATAACGCAGTGCATGCTTTAGGTACCTTTTGATTTACAGGTCACTCTCTTGTGTAGTATCCTCAAGTTCTCAGTCAGATCCAGTTCTGTCATGTCAGACATTATCTTGTCTGGTTTCAATAAGCCAAGATGGTGACAGCCAGATTCCAAACTTAAGAGTTAAAAACGGCAGTCTGTACACCGATGGGTGACACCATGATTACTACATCCATCTTTTATGAAGATTTCACCATTCACTATGCAAAACTTCTGAAATGCAAGTCTCAGTCTGGAAGTACTTAAACTAATTCAAACCTAAAGTGCTATAAGGATAGACGATACTGTTATTTGTAATGTTAACTTGCTACCAGAACTACGTAGGTGGAAGTTAGTTGCTAGTTCCATTTTTGTGCATGTTGCTGTGGTAGTGACTTATCGCTGGCTCTGGTGTGGACACGAAGAGTTTGTCTACACTGGAGTTGGAGCGTTCTGCGGACTATGCAAGTGTTACCATCCAGTAACACAAGATCACCATTGTATTCCTTGTTTCGAGTAGCAATTCTTCTGCAAGCAGACATCTGCAAGTTCCTTGTTGGTTGATGCTAACTGTCTATAAACAGTGTCTGTGTAAATAATCTTTGTCCTCTCTGTGTTCCCTGTAGCTCCCAGTATGGTTGGAGAGGGAGCGAGATGAGCATGGGGGATGGTGTGTTGGACTCAGGTAAGGCCAGCGACCTTTCAGTCTGTAGCTGGCCTGTGGAACCCATTCACTGGACTCCATTCCCACTTCTGCAGCAACTGGCTTCCCACAGGACGCCCACGGTGAGTGTTTGACTGAGCTCAGAGTGTTTGGTAAGGAGAGAAATATGCACCTGGTTCAATTATGAGATTATGTGCTTCTTCCCTTGTGAAACCAGGTCAGGGTGTCAAGACCGCGATCTTACTGTGAGGGCATGGAGCTGGTAGACCTGGGCAAGAGCTGGACTGCTTGACACACATGAAAACAAATCAAATCTGTTCTGACACTGGTATTTGCAGTTCATTGTTGCATTGTAAAACTCAAATGTTCTTGTTTTGTAAATAAAAAACTTAAAACAATAACTGTGTATGTCTGTACAAGTTTATATTTTTTTGTAAAATTGTTGCTACATTTTTCAATTTTAATCATAGACATTATAAAAAAAAAAGAGTCTATGGTTTTAATCAAGAATTTGTTCCTGAAGCTATGCAAGGCTTTGATCTGAATGTCTGTCATGTATGGTACAGAGTCAAATGTAATGTTTTAATAAATATAAATCTTGTTTTGGGTGAGAATGTATGTATTTTATATTTTCTTTTGAAATTATTTTATGTCCTTGTGAATTTAAACATACAATACAATACTTTAGACTGTGTTATTTTACTATACAATAAACTAGTAAAACAAATGAAGACAAAAGAATTTAAAAAGTTAAAAACAGATTGCTATTTGTTTACATCTCAAGCCTACATGAGACCGTAATACCTCTAGCATGTTTGTATGTGGGGAATAAAGCTTTACATTCAGCCAGTTAGCTTAGCTTAGTTTAGTATATGTACTAGAAACAGAGAAGCAGCTCGCCTCGCTCCATCCAAAGGACAAAAAAATCGACCTGCTAGTTCACTAAAGAAAACATTGGTCACATTAATTTGTTAAGAAAGCAAAGATTAAAAACAGCACATTGTGGTTGTAATAGGGGTTATGTGCTGGACCATTTGTTGTCCAGGAACAGAGACTTTCTACAATCCTGCTTGAAGTAGTTGAAATAGTCGAGCAAACAATTAAAATTGAAGGTGTGTATTTGTTGATGGATAGGATTTTGTTACTTTACAACAAAATCTCGTCATTAGACTAATTATGAGAGTAACGCCTAATGTATACATGTCAACCAACGTCCATTCATTGTGTTTTTGTCGGTGTGGAATTTGCCTGGCCTCGACCTCCATCTTGGCAATCTAACAGCCTTGCTATCTGGCATAAAAGAAGGTTTTACATTTATTGTTGGATTGTATTTACTTTAAGGTATGTGATAATGTAAGCAATATCTCTCTTCTCTATTCTCTCGTTCCACAACAAAACTATACTTAGAGAAGTGGAAAACCTGTTTCTGGCCAATGTAGCAATTACTTTAGACATAATAATAATAATAATAATAATAATAATAATAATAATAATAATAATACAGATTTCGTTCAAACTCAGCGAATATGCCCTCAGGGGTCTCGAATCGTTCATTCAGTGCTCTAAAGACTTACAGTACATAGCCCTGGCTCTGTAAAAGGAAAGCAAACCAATGGCTAATAAGTAGTCAGTCTGGTTTTTGCTAACTATCGAAATATCAGCAATCTTTCTCTAGAATCACAGACTTTGCTTTAAATGAAACATCCTTAAAAACGATTTATGTGTCTAAGATGTGAGTTAACCAGTTGCCCCGTGGGACCACAGACTTCTCATCCTTCTAAAATCTCATTCAGAAGTTTGTTTCATTGAAAGCTGTATTAAAGCCTGGACAAAGTGGAAAACTACTTTAGGGCCTCAGGGTCATTTCATTGTATGAAAGTTGGTTGAGGTACTTGCACAATACAGCTACTAAACATCCGTCATCATTTCTGTGCCTAATCTTATGATCTTGTCTTGCAGAATCCGATGTCTTGACCTTCATTTGGTTGTGCAAAAAACAAGTTGCCCACACCTGACACCACACACATCTGTGGTGCATAGTTGCTAAATACAACTGTTTCATGTTTAATCCGAAATGTGGAAGTGGCTAACAGACCACTAACACATCACCTGAGAGGCAGGGCGCTATTTTGAGGGGGGGATTTCTGTCTATAATTTGTATATTTCACCGAGCTTCTTTCTTTCTCACTTGAGTACACACGTGAGCCACACCCCCCTCTCAATGCCGTGTAATGAAACTCTGTTGGAATGTGACGCCATAAACGCCTGGGATAGACTGGTAGAGAGCGAAACGGGCAAATATGCACGCTGACCTTGGGTTGCAGTCACGTAATTTCGATGTGAAACAGAATAGGGGAGTGTTTGATGTTGGGAGACAGGAAATGTGGCAAATAAAGGAAGAGAGTAAATGGGCGTTTAAAGGAGAGCGAGTGCACTAGGGATAGGGATGACTGGAAAGTGGACAGAAGCTACCTGCTAGCTTCTTCCATATACGGTCTTAGAGAGAGCTAGAGCCAGGCCCAAGAGTTTCTCTGACTGTGTGAGTGAGCAATGCAGGGAGGGCGTGTGTGTATGTGTGTGTGTGCGTGCGTGTTGCAATGCATGCATGAGTCATGCACGCTACCGAGTTTTGAAATGTCTCAAGGATTGGTATGAGTGTCCAGCAGGAAACATTGAGAAATTTATGTCAGGGAGGAGTTAAATGAGTACAAAGTTTAAAAAAAAACAAAACAATGATGCCATTCACTGACATTCTAAACATAAATCAGATGAAGTATACTGAAAAATCTAACTTTCACTCTCCCTCACAAACACACACACACATTTACATGCACAGCCTTAAAAAGGGAGATTCATTCATTTCCTCAGACTGGTCACATGACCTGAGCAGTGCATTCTTCCCCCCATGTGACTGGCTCCAATATCTCCTTATATGGACGTCATCCAAAGGAACTCTTAAAGGGCTGGTTGTCCTGCCCTGGGTCTATACTTGGTGTGTGTGTGTGTGTGTGTGTGTGTGTGTGTGTGTGTGTGTAGCAGGATAATGCCAGTCTGAGGAGCCAATTCCCTGATCAGCTCATTCACCCCCCGTCCATGTTGTCCTGAGCTGCTCCCCACCTGATGATATGTAGACATGTCTGTGTGTTTGCAGGCCTGTGTTGTCACATCCTGCATGCATCTTGCAGAGGAGAGGCACTGTGAAAATCCTGTCCCTTTTGGTGAACCGACTCCCATATATCCATATTAGGAACACGTAGGGCCAGTGAGAATTCCTACTGTAAGTTTATGAGTCTTTGTCCGGTGCCCTTATTGAGTTAAAACAGCACCCTGACCCACCCACTTAGTCTCGGGTCAACTTCTGACATGCGCTCTACAAGAGGATTTCCGTCATGAAAACAAATATTTTATTCAGGCAAGTATTTTAAGTTAGGAAGGAACAATGCACAGTCGTGTCATATCTGGTTGCGAAAATGAACAGGTGTGTATGCATACTTACGTGAGTCATAATTCTGAATTTCGTAATAGGCCTTCGAGATTCATAATGACACCTGTTTATTATGTGTCATTCAAACAAGCAAGGTTAATCAGCCATCTAGTCTCACTCACACATCACCAGTGAGGTGATGAAAGATAGGAGATTTACACTCTCTTGAGTTATGCTGTAAACATACCTCAGCTTAACTGCACGTATCACTGTCGCTCTGCTGTACACGTGTGTGTGTGGCACTGGTATGCCAGCATCAGACATGTCAGACAGGGTGTGAACAGCGCTGTCAACGACCCTGAGACTCTAATCACCCCATGTCCTGGCTGTGGCCATTAATGGGTATCATTAATGAGTGGGAAAGTTTTCATTGGTGCAGTCTAGTTTTACTGCATTGCCTTACCTCCATCATTTAAATTAGATGAATTATGGATTTGTTTGTTGCTTTTCCATTGCATAAAGATAAAACAGAAGACAGCGGCATGGGTATATTATGAGAGTAATCAATGTGATCAGGATATCAAGGCCTCAAGGATTAAATTATCATCAACTATTGCACTGTTGACTGATTAATACATGGTACTTCTGCCCAGTGTGACATTACCAAATGCATAAAAACACGTATTTCAATTTGTTTTATACTCAAGAGCAACTCTTTGTTTTGCAGCATTAGTTGTGTGATTTGTTGCCCAAGGAAAGACATCCATCCATAAGAATATATATATATATATAAGGTAACAAAGTGCGAGTGTAACTGAATTATGACAGACTACAACGTTGTTGTTATATAAGTAAATGCAAAGGTGCAGCTTCACCCATGACCCAGGGGAGATGCCCTCCCTCTGGGGCAAAGAGGCCCCTTATGAGTCCCTTTGATAAATGCAAATGTATTACTTATGCATAAGATTACATTTATTTTCAAACTTGGATGTTGCTCTGACATAAACTGCAACATAAATTTTGGATAACGTGATTTTTTTTTTTTTTTTTGATTTTCTTTTTAACAGTCTAGCTGATCTTGAGTTAGCTAGGCTAACTAGCTGACATAAAGCCAATTTGTTTGCCTTTTACACTGGTAATGTTTTTTGTTTTGTTTTTTTTAACTGCTCAGTCGTTATTACGTTACCTTATTAGATGACGTCTATAATTTATCAGTAATCTAAGCTACAGAATTGAAAATCATGTATGTCCTGGGGAGGCTTCTTACTCCATATCCCTTAAAGGCTCTAGTTTAATACTTTTATATGATTTTTTTTCTAAAAAAAAAAAAACAAAAAAAAAACACGTATGAAAAAAAAAAAAACAAAAAAAAAACACGTATGTTATTTATTGTTCATACTAATGGATAACCCTCCATAAGACCCTAATATTAACAGTAAAACATCTTGTATATGTATGTACTTGTCAAAATATATCTCAAAACCACTTCTTTTGATTTTGATCATTTCAATACTGTTTAAAGACTAACACTGCCACTATCATCTAAGAAAAGACTTGCAATAAAAAGTATGCCCAGTATGTGATGGTCAGGTGGGAATAACAGAGTGCATCTTATCCTGCTTTACACCTCTATCATTATCATGACTGAGATTATAATAATTACGATGAAGCGATACGATACACAAGAGTTGTATTGAAGCCCAGATTGATAACTTTGTGGGAGTATATAGGTTAGTTTCATGGTGTCTTGTCCCCTGCTCCAGTCAGAGCGCAGACTCGGTATCTGCATGCGCCACACCCAGTGGACGCGGCTGAACCAATCAGAGGGCGCCGTGCGGAAAGTTCTCCTTTTATGGAGAGGGGCTGCAGCACGAGCTCTGATAAAATCCTGCAATTTATCGGCCTCCATTGCAGTCAAGTTCAGACACTAAAGCCTACCGGAGTGTAGACACAGTCCTCCTCAGCCGAAAACCCTCCCTCACACAGGTAAGACAGCTGCCGAGTCTACATGAAAGTTTTTACTTGCCTTGTTTTAAATGTTTATTATTTCGTGTACTATTTATGTTACCAGAGAAGCCGGTTTCATCTCGCTGCTTAACTTATGATGTGAGGTTTTGCAGACTTCTGTTATAATGTTCCTGTTAATGACAGTTTGATGGAGGGACAGTGTTAAGTTCATGTATGTTGCTGACAGGGAGACGTAACATAAACCTGCTGCTTGACGCTGTCACCGCTTCATCAGTTTCACAAATCAGACTGCGTTTAAAAAGCTTGACCTTCTCGTTTACATGTAAGCATCAGCTTTGGCACGGTCTGCGGCTCTGGTGGCTCCGGTGTCACACACAGGCAGATCATGGCAGTTCAGACGGATTAAACACACTAAAGTCATTGGAAGAAGTGTTAAAATGTCTGTGGCATTACATACATGAAGTTACTTGGATGTGGCTTTTTGCGCACATAACCTTGTAGCGGTGGTGGTCACGACATAACGGTAAACCGCACCTGCCGACTGGCGCGACAAGCATGAAAGTTCCTGTCGGTTAAAGTGTTAAAACCGCTGTCTGAAGCTTGTGTGGATGCTCAGTATAGTTGTGGTGATCCCGGTGAAGGGAGTGGCCGGCTGTCGGTGTCATTTGAGGTTTAACGACACACGGGGCGGTTTTCCGGGCCGGTCCGCCGCCGTCTCTAAGCTGCTCTCACTTTTGCCTTATATGGCCATGGCCAGACCGAGGGAGAAACTGCCTTTTGTTTTTCAGCTCTGGATCGGGACTGGAACCTGCGCCATTGCGACATCCAGCGTCCGGTCTCCAAAATGACAAGGCTTTATCCCAGCTGATGTCTGCCAGATGTAACACACACTGTCACTGAGCATCACTTTTAAACCTCTCTCCCCTCTCTTTTTCTGTCCAGAAAAAAAAATGGAAGACGAAATCGCCGCCCTCGTTGTTGACAACGGATCCGGTATGTGCAAAGCTGGCTTTGCAGGAGATGATGCTCCACGTGCTGTGTTCCCCTCCATTGTTGGACGGCCCAGGCATCAGGTACAGACTCTACATTCTACTTTATAAATCCTACACCTGAAACAACTTTCGATTTTGTTGAATGTAACTTTGATTTTTCAATTGTAATCTCACTCCTCTTTTCCTTTCTAGGGTGTGATGGTTGGTATGGGCCAGAAGGACAGCTATGTTGGTGATGAGGCACAGAGCAAAAGAGGAATCCTGACCCTCAAATACCCCATTGAGCACGGTATTGTCACCAACTGGGATGACATGGAGAAGATCTGGCATCACACCTTCTACAATGAGCTGAGAGTTGCCCCTGAGGAGCACCCAGTCCTGCTCACAGAGGCCCCCCTGAACCCCAAGGCCAACAGGGAAAAGATGACCCAGGTAACAAGAGCTGACACTCTGACATTTGTCTTTAATCAAGAAACCTACTCAGTTCACCTGCAGGGCCCAACAATGGGAAACTGTGTTGCCACTCAGGCTTTTCTTCTCCTGCTCAATCTGTCCATTTCCTCCTGCTCCTTCAACCTCCAGGTTTCCTCTACCCTGAGCTGATCTTTTCATCTCTGCGGATGCTTCAGGTTTCTATCTGTCTGCACTGTGATGCATCAGGAATGACTAGTTGCAGCATGGGCACTGCTGTTTTTCAGATTAGACTGAAATAGACAACAAGCGTCTAACGACACTGGAGTCTGCATGATGCAATAGATAATGGTAGAGCAGGTTCCTGCACTTGAACAGTCAACATGACTAAACCTCTGGGCTTTTTTTTTCTTTTAAATGACTAGTTTTTGTATGGTGTTCATACTCAAAACATGCCAGTGTGCTGTTCTTTCTTTATGACTGCACTAACCCATAAAAGATTACTTATGGTTACTGTGACTCATCAGTTTAATGAATCATTCCCCTCTCTCTCCAGATCATGTTTGAGACCTTCAACACTCCTGCCATGTACGTGGCCATCCAGGCTGTGCTGTCCCTGTACGCATCCGGTCGTACCACTGGTATTGTCATGGATTCCGGTGATGGTGTGACCCACACTGTGCCCATCTATGAAGGCTACGCTCTGCCCCACGCCATCCTCAGGTTGGACCTGGCTGGCAGGGACCTCACAGACTACCTCATGAAAATCCTGACTGAGAGGGGTTACAGCTTCACCACCACAGGTGAGCACTCGGGCACCGACTTCAAAACAAGCTAATGTTTGATACTAGTTAAATTGGAAAACTGACCGTAAAATATCTTTTCTTGTCTAACAGCCGAGCGTGAGATTGTGCGTGACATTAAGGAGAAGCTGTGCTACGTTGCACTGGACTTTGAGCAAGAAATGGGAACTGCTGCCTCCTCTTCTTCCCTGGAGAAGAGCTACGAGCTGCCTGACGGACAGGTCATCACCATCGGAAACGAGAGGTTCCGTTGCCCTGAGTCCCTCTTCCAGCCCTCTTTCCTTGGTAAGTAACACCAGGGAAACAAGCCATTTCAAGGCTAAAGTCTTTCTTTTTTTTATGTTTTTTGTTTTTACTGGCTGAGTGTAGTAAATTCAGAGTTACATAAACCATAACTTACATTTCTCTTTACACCTTTTCACAGGTATGGAGTCTTGCGGTATCCATGAGACTACCTTTAACAGCATCATGAAGTGCGATGTTGACATCCGTAAGGACCTGTACGCCAACACTGTGCTGTCCGGTGGTACCACCATGTACCCTGGCATCGCTGACCGTATGCAGAAGGAAATCACCTCCCTGGCTCCCACCACCATGAAGATCAAGGTAAAACTCTTGACTCTCATTCTCCTTGAGGCAGTGATGCAAAAATATTCCAGAAAGCTCTTTACATCTGCTGCCACTTTGTGGACAAATGTCTGTATTGCAGCATTATGTTTCTGTTGCTTGTCCTTTAGCTTCTGGAACTTTTCAATGCAGACTTTGGTACTAATGACATCTCTTTTCATCTTGCTTCCTACAGATCATTGCTCCCCCAGAGAGGAAATACTCCGTATGGATCGGAGGCTCCATCCTGGCTTCCCTGTCCACCTTCCAGCAGATGTGGATCAGCAAGCAGGAGTACGATGAGTCCGGCCCCAGCATTGTCCACAGGAAGTGCTTCTAAATAGACTGTCAGTCCCCACCCCCAAAACACACACTGCTACAAATCCAAACGACTGGCTCTGCATACATGCCTACACCAACACACTGGTGTATGCTGAGCCCACAACACCTCTTCCCATTTTCCCTCATCACTCTGGCTATGGCACCATGCCCCCTGATGGGGAGAAACTCTGCAGGAAGTACAGAGCGTCCCAGGCGGTGTGAATGTGTGAGGAACATGATGTCCATTGTCGTGTTTGTGTAGGTCATTCCAGATGTCTTTGTTCACCACCTTATTTGCCTCTATGAAGGTTTATTCTCTGGTGGGCCCACTGCCCAACAGACCTGTAGTATTGCTTAATATGTAAATTATAATCTAAAATCTTGTTTTGTTTTTGTACTTTTCAGCCTTAAATGATACTTGGTCCAGTTTGTTTTTGTCATTATGCAAAAGACAAAGCTTCTACCTTGTATTGAGGTGTATGAAGGTTTGTGCATGGGGCTTCGGGCCTCTGGTGTACACAACAACCCAATAAAGCGCACATGTCTGAGATTCCACTTTGACTACTTGGTGTTTATTCATCTTGCCAGAACCCTGTTTTAATTTACCCTGATCAGATTGCATCCCACAGCATTTAGTTCAGTTTAAATGCAAGTTAGGCCACACTGTGCTTTACATGAAATTAAAAACATGAACTATATTCAGGTGGAGCAAGGACTATTTGTAACTTGTTTGTTTTACATGCAGCCATATCGGTGAGCATCATGTTTTTTGTGAGGCATTTTGCCAAGTCACAGTAGGAAAAGCCCTGGTGTAAATGTTATTGATGGCTGAATTCCAAATAGCTGTATTTGTTCTTGCTCACTGTTGTACTATTATGGCTAACAGGGATATTTGAATGGAATGGAGCCATTGCTAATATTGATACCTGTGTTTTGATTACCACATCAGGCAGTTCATTGCAGGTTCACGTGTATGGTACTTTTTTTAAACTTCAAGTGCTTTAAGTAGGAAGTTACACAAGACAATATAAAAGGCTGAGGATGCATCTAATGTTTCATTTAAATATTAAGTAACATCAAACTACATGAATTCCAGAGATTCCACAGTGGGTCTCCTCAGTCACTTTGAGATGTTTAGACTTAGACTTAGACTTTGAATTCTTAATGTCCATGTAGAGAACTTGTAAACATAGGAAACCATTAACTGAGATAATTCCACCTGACTGCCGTTGAAGGAGTGAAACTGCAAACCCTTCACAGCCACCCGTCTCCCAAGCTAGGGTGTGCTCTATTCTAAAGACAGCTTTTGTGTGGAGTTTTACCTTGGTATAAAACTTTCTGCTTATAGTGCCATCGTGTGGACAGCTAGTGGAATATGAGAAACAATAATGAATAATTATTCTCTATCTAACTTTTTAGGCAGGACTAGTTAAATATGTCATATTTGGTTGCAAAACTGAAAACATAATAGATCAGAGTGATTAAGCATCACTGATAAAACATATTTATTATCTTTCTGTTGTTTGAACAATCCATTCACTGGTAATGCACTGTTGCCATGCTTTTGGTTTTTTAAACATTTTGATCCCCCTGTTTGTACAATTCAATCTAGTCAGTTGCAACACATCTTAAACACTGTGCAGTTATGTCCCAGAGCTGAAACATCCTAGGTGGTTTGAATATTAGATAAAAGCGAGTCTTATTCTGCCATCACCCATCATGAAGTTGGTGTTTGATTACAAAGCAGATTAACTTGTTTACATGTGTCCCCACATACTGGAAAATGCCTATTTTTTTTTCGTAAAATTTGTTTTCAGGCCCTGTCGATGAATGTGTCAAACATTTGCCACAAGTTACACACACTGAGCCTCAACAAGACCCTGCTCACAGATGTCAGCCTGACTGTGGAGTGTCAGGTAGAGCAACTGAAAAAATGTCTTACATGCTTTATCTGATATGATAGAGGATGTTATTGATGATTTCCCCTCCCCTTTGTCTGGCCCACCTTTCCTATTGTTCTTATTGCACTTACTTTTGATATGGGGGGTGATTTTAACATATGTATGGTCAGTTCAGAGGCAGCTGACACCCTGAGCTGCCTCTCAGCTGAACCTTGGAGCCCTCTGGTGCCTGAGAGAATACATTGAGCTGCTGCTGACACTATGATGGTGACTGAAGTTGCCTGAGTTTTCTTTTTGCTTGGTATATTTATAGCTTGACTCCTTAATGTATGCAGATTCAGACACTTAAAACAGCTCATATCATTATTGTGATGAACCCTGTGTCTCTGCAGCCTGTGTCGTCTGGAACCTCACCACCTTATCCTCATTTATCCCAGGAGAAGAGGAGAAAATGACTTTCCTGAACAGCTGGAGGTCTGTATGATGTCATTTGTGGTCTTTAGGAGCAACATCCAGTCAATAGCTGAAGGGGGATTTGGATTCTTAAAATTTATCGATTTAAATAACACTTTCAAAATAAAATGGATTAAGGAATGTCTTAGCGCACCAAACTCCATCTGGTATTTTATTCTAAACAATATATTTTAAAAATTGGGTGGTCTTCACTTTCTTTTTGTCTTCTCACACAAGAGCATGGCTGCTACCATATCAATTCTGTATTAATAATAAAGTTAACAAGTACACATGAATGTTTTACACTATATATATGTAACAAATTCATACTAATTCAGATTTTTAGAAATTGAAAATAAATGTACCTCCTGTAAAAAATGACAGCGAATCCTTATGTCATGAATTTTCCATTGTCCGTATTCAGCTATCTTCTGGAATCAAATTAAGAATGATATATTGTGTAAAACTAAAATTTATGTTAAAATTGATTGTAAAAGTGTCATAGCTTACTTTGATCACAAAAATAAAGAAATAGTATTCGTACTTAATTTAATAATTCTAATTGGCAAATTTTAAATTCACAAATGTAGATTGGCAAATGTAAAACCAAATTCTGTTCAATTATCTATTGACTTTGAAGAACATATTAAAACATTTAATAATATATAAACAAAAAAAAGCAATAAAACGTAAAAATATTTAAAGAACTGTTCCAAAAAGAACAATGATGCCCCTCCTCTTGTCCCCTTGATATATATATATGTAAATTAATTAATTAATTAAATAATTAATTAACATCGAATTAAAAATTGTCAAAATTCATTTATCATTATGAGCACATGCCTGTCAAATTGTTTATGTTATTTGTACAATTCTTTGTGTTAAATAAAGTTCTATTTCGGGGGAAAAAATCCAGTCAATAACAGCGGCACAGGCTCACTAATCTATCGAAGATTTAGTCGATCGCAGTGTGACGTCCTAACTGGAGCAGATGAAGCATTTTCAACAGTTTATACGACCACATAATAAATCAAAATAATTTATTTAAAATTCTGATCATATACAATTCTCTTCAAGTGCCCAAAAGAATCAAAACTGGACATTTTGTAACGATCGTTTGTTATCTATTATTCATGCCTGAACCAGTTCGTGTCATTGAAACAGCGTGGTTGTGTTCAACATGCTAGGAGCTACAAACCTCAAACAACAACAAGAAGAACATGCTAGTAGCTCCATATTTACCCTCCAACAAGTTTTGTAAGTTTTATAAACGTTGTGGTTTGCTTCCAAGTAGAAGAGAAAACTGGACATATTCAGGTAGCTTTTAATTAGCAAGTTAAACATGTTGTCGTCCGTCGCCTCTTCGTTCGTGCGAAACGGGAGGAAAATATCGGTCCCTGTTTCCAGATTGTCAATCTTATCAAATTCACCTAAAACACCGACTCTGACCGGGGTACAGGGTGTGTCGCGACACCGGACATCCAGGCTTCTGACACCGACTCCCTGGCAGCTACCCACGGGACTAAGCTCCAGGTCTGTGTCCCGAGATGACAGAGACCCCCCAGACTCCCCTTCAGTCGAGCTTGACCACGAAAACTTCGGCTCGCTGTCCGTCGACATGGCCTCCAGGAGGTCCTTCAGGAAAAGCAGCCCAGCCATGCGTGAGCTGCGACACCAAGAAGACCATGCGGAGGAAGGAGAGGAGGAGGAGGAGGAGGAGGAGGAAGATCGCAGGAGGCCCGGGAGGAGAAACACACCGTACTGGTACTTTTTACAGTGCAAGAAGCTGATCAAAGAGAACAAGGTTAGTTTGGCTGAGCTGTTTTGTCTTTCCTGCTTTCTTTCTCTTCGTTCTTCATGTGTTTATAAACGTGCTCTGTCCTGTCACAGCTGCAGGAGGCTTTGGACATGTTCAGCAGAGACATGCTGAAGGGAGAGAGGCTGCAGCCGGAGGAGTTCAACTACTCGGTCCTGATCGGAGGCTGTGGTCGAGCTGGACAACTCAAAAAGGCCTTCAAACTCTACAATGATGTAGGGAGCTTTTATTCTCATGTCTTAATTCATAGTTATTAACCACACTAACTAACTAACTAACTAACTAACTAACTAAATAAATAAATAAATAAATAGTGCAATCTAATTCAGTATTCTATGAGTAAATCCCTCCAAAAATCCCTTCATACTGTTTAGATTTAAAGGTTTTTAAGAGCTGATGATTCAACTTTGTGGTCATTTTGGAAACTGTGCTGCAAGAGAAACACAATACAGTTTACCAGCATCACAAAAGACAGCAACAACCACAGTTACCCTATATCCATGTTTATGAATGTACTTCCTACTTTGATTAGTTTGTTTTTCTTGTGACATTGTGGATATTTGCAACCCTGCCAGGCCTCAGACAAACGACAACAATAAGAGAAGCATGAATCACTGTTTCTAAACGGCCCATAACTGACATTCACATAAAGCAGTAACGTGTGCTTCATTTTAAGGGATCTCGTATCAGAAATGTTTGAAACCACTGTGTTAAATAATCAGTTATCTGAGTAGTATTTGTAGTATTAGCAGCAGCAGAGCCTATGTTGTGTACACGTCACTTGTTCTATAATCTGCACACATTAGTTTTTTTTACCGATCGCCCTCCATAAATAGACCAAATCATTTTTGTTCTTTAACAATATAAAAACATAAACAGCTAGTATGTCACAGCATACTAGCTGGCTGTGTAATTTAGTTGGTCTCAGTTTTAGCTTTAGCTCATATACCATTTTTAGAGATATACATTTGTGACAAGCACTTACTAAACATTGACAGAGCTTCTCAATAATATAGTTGTTTACAAAATGCAATTATTTGTGTGTGTCTCTTCCAGATGAAGAAGCGAGGTCTAGAGGCTGGAGATGCGACCTACACCGCACTGTTCAACGCCTGCGCTGAGTCTCCTTACAAACAAACCGGTCTTCAGCAAGCACTGAAGTTGGAGCAAGAACTCCGTCGCAAAAATGTCCCCATGAGCACCATCACATATCACGCTCTTCTCAAGACCCACGCCGTCACCAACCACCTTCAGGCTTGTATTCACACAATGAGGGTACGACAGATTCCTACATATGTGTGAGTCTCAGTTTTGTTTGGTTCACTGAGTTGTGTTGTCTCTAATGTTGGGTTTATGTTTGTTTGTAGGAAATGCTACAGAACGGACATGTAGTTACACAGGAGACGCTTCATTACCTGCTGATGGGCTGCTTGAAGGACAAAGAAATAGGATTCAGACTGGCTTTACAGGTACGTACATGATTTGTAGGCACCAGCTACATTAGAAAGGTATATGGGTGAAACACCAACTAATTTTCCTTCAGTGTTTTCGCTAAATACACGAGTCTCAACAGACATTGGCATAAACTGCAGCTTCATGGAGGCATACAAGTGCAAGGTGGAAAATCTAGTTTCTTTAATAGTAACCAAGATACATACTCCTTTACTTTTTTGCACTATTTAAAGTGTACGAGCATCTTGGTCTGCGCTCAGTTAAAAACAGTGGTCTGAGATTGTTGTAATAACCCACATTTACAATCCAGTCACTCCAAAACGCATGAATAGATTCAGAATATATGGCAAGCTAGCATAACACCCCTGAAAACAGTCTCTTCTTTTAAGGTTTTCAGTGCATCAGTTTACCAGCTTTGTGGTTATAGCTTCCTCATTGTTTTGCTACAGCTCTAGAACATGAGAGCAGTGCAGATGGAAGATTCAAGCTGATGTCACATCTGTATCATCTGTGAGCTACCAGACACTCAGTGCATTGTCTGGCGTTCTCTAAAAAGTTCTATTGTTCAGCGTGACTCAGATTGCAGCCAGGACCAGTGCTTGTAATATTGTTATCACACACGCTAAAAGCAACCTCTTAATCTTTCCTTCAGGTGTGGCGCCAGATGCTGCAGTCGGGGATTCTTCCAGACACAAAGAACTACAACCTGCTCCTGAGAACTGCCAGGGATTGTGGGATTGGCGATACTGGTTTGGCCTCTGCTGTTCTGCTGAGTGACGGTGAGAGTCGGAAAAAGAGGAGAGGTGTTTCAAAGTCTAAGTGCAAGGACGAAATTGACATCGACCTTCTGGAGAGGCAGTTGTTTCTCCAGCCTGATCCGCCCAGAGACACTCAGAAGGGCAGCAGACACAGTGAGGAGGTCAACACCAGACAAGACTCAACCCATTTGATCCCAGTCAGACAAGAAGAAAACATCTCACTACCTGTGAATGTAGCAGCTGATTCCATCACCCCTAACCTCCTGGACTTTTTTGAGGGGAAAAGAGGTGCTGTGATCTCCCTTGGCACTGTTGACGGAGCATGTGATAGGCTGGCCCTCATCGGTGGTGCTGATGGTTTCCTGGAGAAGATGGCAGCTAATGGACTCAGGCCAGACCTCAAAACTCTGACCCTGCTGGCTGACACCATGGAGCCGGGCTACCAGTCTCTGCAGGTGTTGTTAAAGGTTGCCAAACAGCATCAGCTGAAGCCTGATCTCGGCTTCTTCAACTCTGTGATTCACAAAGCAGCAAAAGCCAATGACCTGGAGGGGGCAAAGGTACACACACAAATACACTCTCATTTCTAACCTACCTAATTATTATTTAGTCAATCAGTTAGATTTGGTTGTGTGTAGCCCACTTTCTGCATTTGCTCCAAAACAAGAAACAGTCTCCCCATCACTGTTAACAGCCTGCAGAGCTTTTCATTTGAACTGCTCTCTGTTGAAGACAGAGTAACAGTGAAAGCTGCTGCTGTCCAGAGTAAGAAGGAATGCAACACTTGAGAGACAAAATTAAACCAAATGTGTTCACAAAACTACAAGTATCTGTTTTTGTTGTAACCCGTCAAAGAACTTTAAGTGTGTGTTTAGGTTTCTGACACAGTTCTTTCTTTCCAGGCTGTGCTGAGTGTGATGCGACGGCGGAATGTAAAAGTGGATATACAGACATTTGGATGTCTTGCATTAGGGTGTGCTCAACAGAAAGACGGCCTTCAGCTGCTGAAAGACATTGAGGTGACAAAACACTGTCAAAGTCAGAAGAGATGTTTGATTTATAATCCACTTTTTTTTGGTTTGTTTTCTTCAGGACAGAAAATCTTGCTGAACTCTGTTCCAGCCACTTTGCTTAATTCATGGTTTTTTTCTGTTAATGTAAACATGCTAAAAGTTTAACAAAATGATGCTGCTGGCTGCTGTAATAGATAAACCAAAACTACTACAGTAATGTCTATAATATTTGTATTAGGAGTAGTAATACAAGTATACAACAGATGTTGTGTCATCTTTACACACCTGGATCTTTGTGCTTTCCACAGGAGGCAGGACTGAGACCCAACGTCCATGTGTTCTCAGCTCTTATTGGTCGAGCAAGTCAGAGACTGGATTACGTTTACCTGAAAACACTCCTGAAGTCCATGAGGGACATGAGAGTGTGGCCTAATGAGGTCATCATCCGACAGCTGGAGTTTGCTGCACAGTATCCACCGAATTATAACCAGGTCAGTATACATGCAGCACATGAGGGCACAAGAGTTTCCAGCCTGTCAGTCGAGGGGTTGTCACAGCATCTGATTTTTACTACATCAGTTAGTGTGGCTGAAAGATTTCACAGTAACAATATTTTCTCAATATATGGAGAAAATTCGTCTTTTAACAATAAACTACCCTCAAAATATTAGTGTAATCAATCAATCAATCAGAACTTTATTGTCATTGCACATGTCACAGAGCAACGAAATTTACTTTACAGTTACATCCAGTCCAAGAAACATAAAAAGACAGTGACCAATAACAAGGGGAGACAGGAGGGAGAAACTGTCGGGTCAGCCAGCATGAGCAGTGCCCCTTATCGTTAGATAGGAAAAGGAAACAAGAGGGAAAAACGAGGGGCAAAAAGGCAATTCCCAAACTAGGCTCCTCTAGGGGGGGCACATTGTGGGATTAGGAAAAAAAACACCTCAGCACATAAGCAACATAATGAAACATCGACTCGACACTCAAGGGGGGAGGTGTCACAGCTCAGACACTGGGGGGAGTGCACAGCCACGAGAGCGCGTCGCGTCAGCCTGCAGCATGCTGCACTGTAACAAGGGAGGGAGAGGGGGTGGAGAGGCAGCCAGGTGTGGAGTCCAGGGGGTGTGTGTTGTCCATGGACTTCATCGCCGCTCAGACTCAGCATTGTCTCTGTCGTCTGATGCTGGTGACGAGACACGGCAGTTGCCATGGAGACGACCTCGAAGAGTTCTGATCCAGAGACAAAGTTCACAGGAGAAGGAGTAGGGGAGGGGAGGGGCTGAACATCTGTCTGCATAGCATCCAGGAGAAGTGGTGACATATCAGCCTTCCAAGGCCGAAGTGTTGGAGCCGAATGAAGATAAAGAAAGATTGTTTGAGTCAAGACGACTTGCAATTTACCATCAGTCCTTAGAGTCCCACTGGTTCTCTCTGTGATCCAAAAAGCTGAATTTGATGGCCCGTTACATCTGGATCGGACTGTTCAACGGCTCCAAGTTGGTGCCCATCTTGCGAATCAGTTCTGGAACCCCTTCCAGTTTGCGATTAAGTTCGCATATTGCTTGAGTCTGAGAGCTGACAGCCCGAAGCAATCCCTGCATGACGGGCAGCTTCTCAATTGCCGAAAGTGCTGCCTCCGTCTTCCGAACTTTGCCATAAAGCAGGAACCCGTAAACTCCAAACAGCAGGAAGCCTGTTATCATAATCCCAATTAAGTAGACGTCTTCAACATCGTCCACGGAAAGTATAGAGAGGCACACGACCCTCCACTCCTTCCAGGAGTCCATCGTGTATCCTGCTGCAAACGTTCCGTCAGGGCAGGCGGGCTCTCCTTTGCCCAGTTTCTCGTCGAGAAAAATTTGATCAATTGCATTGAAAGACCAGCTGATCGAATCCATGATTTCAGGTTTTGGAGAGAAATGCAGACAGAGGCTCTGATAGATTCAGACAGAGACAGCACAAGACAAAGAGCAGCAAGCAGGGCAGATAACGGCAAGGGAGCGAGAGAAAAAGCGGCCGCCTTCGTTGAGAGCAGGAAGAGACCGTGTAGGGAATCTGATGCTAGAATGCTTGCGATATTCTCCTGTGTGTATTATTAACTTGATATTAGTCATTTTTTAAATATCCAGACTAAAAAGAAATGGAAAAGGGGTCACTTACAGATTGCCCCTAGATGTAGAAATGAATTTTATAGTCAGAAAACCAAGGAAAGGTTATTTACTTTCATGCTTTGCCTCTTGAAGTCAGTTTACTTGTCTTAAAGCCTTGTGTAATCCAGCATCTTCCTATATCAGCAAGAGCCTTTTAGTCTATGCTCCAACAACATGATTCATATGTTTTTGCCTTGGTTTTCTTTCTGCTTTCTCAATCCCAGTACAAGTCCAGAAACAACTACCTGGTCCATATAGATGGTTTCCGTGGTTACTACCAGTACTGGCTGAGACACATGCCCGCTCAGAGCGCTGAGGACAAGCAGGCGGCGCTGCAGTCTGAGGCTGAAGCTGCAGCTCTGAAAACAGAAGCTGCAGACCTGAAAACAGAAGCTGCAGACGGACTGACAGAGGCCCAGAAGAACCAGAGACCAGAGAGGAGATACAGTTCTCGTAGGAGGGACAAGACGAGCAGCACCCTGGCAGCTCTGTAACTGCACTGAAAACGTAACACCTCTCCTCGATTCCCTGCTTCTCTGCATTGAGCTTTGTAACAGAGCTTTGCTCATGGACCTTGCATTTGCCTTTTTCTCAAAAAACATTGTGTTTTTGTCATTAAGGTCAATTTTAGCTTTCAGTGCCTGATTCCTGAGACATTAAACTTCATTGTTCATCTGTTGAATTATGTTTTATTTTGGGCTATCCCAGCACTTACTGTAGGGTGATTTGTTGAGTGGAAGATGGTCTTCACTGGCTCAAATTGCAGTTAAATTTTAGAATTGCAATTCAACAGGCTGAGGAAGTGGATCAGATCAAAAAATGTATTTATTGTTTTCCTTAAAAAGGCTTTCATTGAACAGTAGTTAATGTAACATGTAACTACTAACTACTACTAACTACAGAAGCCTCTTGGATGAGAGGTAAAATGTTTTCAGAACCAAATAAAGGACCCTTATCTGCGTTTAAAATACTGTTGTGACTGTGGTATTTTCTATTAATGTTTTTAAGAAGGTATTATTTCAAACTGATGGATAATAACAAGGTACTGCTTGAAACTGAAACATCAAGCTGAGGTTTGCGTCTGCCTGCCTCCTCTGACTGCAGAAGAAAAATGAGTAGTTTGTTGTTTCAGGATTTCGTTTTGTAAGAATCTTTTAAGAAAGAAAACAAAGGATGTAATTTGGAAAATTAAAGGGGATGCTTGACAAGATTTGTCTGGCTTTGTGGAATAATAGAACAGTAAGAGGATGTATTTTTTTAATTACAGAAGAAACAGTTTTATATTTTAACATTAAACTGATCAGATGAATTTAATACATTCTGTACTAATTCCCTGAATAAGCAATGTCCGTGCGAATGCTATCAGAAGCACACAGATGATCCATTTTATCAAAAATGTATGTTATTGACTGAACATTAGGAACAGTTGCATTTAAATGAATAGCCAAGTGTTCATTTGGTTTAATTGTAGAAAAGAAAATGAGCTCAAGAAAAAGATAATGTAGTTTACCTTCTGATGTAAAACCACAATGAAGGAACAAAAGAACATACAGTTTGAGAACAACTGATGTAGTTAGCCGGTTTTAAAGGATGTATTATTTGATGGTAAAAGAGAAATTGTGTTTCTGTGACTGAGCAGTAAAACTTTAAGGAAAGATTAGATTCTCACTCAGGTGCAGCTTTGTTGCTGTTTATCTTAATTGTGATTATGTTGCCTCCTGGGTATGCTGCTTTAGTGCTGCCTGGTAAAGGATCTTGTTAACCCTTGTTTTTAAAAGTACGCTATCAATAAAGTTTTATTATTACCACAGTAGGTGCACATCTGTTAGTTCTATCCCTCAGCTCACAGTGTCCGGATGGTCCGGTAGGAACCTTAGTCCTCCAGTCCAGGCTGCTGTCCGGAGGGTTTACCAAATGCCACATTAAATCAACGAAGAAGAACCAGCGACGTCACATCCGGTGACAGCAAGTTTTGACTGTCAGGCGCGAATGTAAACATTCGTTTAAACGAACAACCCAGGTAAGAAAACAGTTATTTGAATGTATGTTAACAGGTTTGCATTGCCACACTTCACTGGTATTAATAGCGTGAACTCGACTTTACATGTGTTTAACTTCGTACCTGCGTCGAAAAAAGCTCGCTTCTTAAAAGTAAGAAACTACTAATATAGTTTCATTTGGGTTGCCTGAAAACATAAAGGCTGCGCAGTAACACTGTCGTATTTGTATTAAAGACAATGTGAAGTCTCATCCAGGTACCATGTCTTGTAAATGTTACTGTCATGGAGGAGTTTCCTTAAAATAGAAACCGAAACCGTAATCTTTTAATGAGCAACAAAACATGCAGGCTTGGACAGATGACTCAGTCAAACAGCAACAACTGTAGAGTCCCTAATGTTTACATTCTGTGAGCTGAGTATTTCTTTTCTTTTTGCGCCAGGTGTTTCTGATGTGTACTACAGTGGACAGTGAAGAAATAATCATCCTCAGTGATGATGATGATGATGATGATGATGACAAAGACTGTGAGAATGACTTATCCTGCCTGATTGTGGAGGTGGAGGATGTGAAGAAGACTGGTACTAGCTGTCTACCGTATACATCTTCCCATTGTGTACATATGTTGTGCTATAGATCATCACCAGCTGCTCTTCCTCTGTGTTTCAGACTGTGTGTCAGCTTCTACTGCTCTGGATGAAGACCTGGTTGTTACCTTCTATCGCCGTGCTGAGGTGCTGCCTCACGCACGCTTTGACTGTCCAGTACACCCTTTCACGTGAGTAAATGGCCACACACACACTTTGTTAAAGCAGTCAGTGCTCTTTATTTCACATTTTCAGATAATCGTGCTGCTTCTCTTCTGTCCTGCTCAGGGCTACAGACTGTCAGACGGGCACTCCAGTGGCTGATAACCAGCGTATTTGTGATCAGTGCTTTTGTTACGTCTGTGATAAGCTGGCATCAAAGGTAAGTGCTGCCGTAGTGTGCACAACCCCATCACACACTCACCGAGTAAAACCCCTTGAAGACTAAAATGAAAGGTGGTTAATTATTCTCTTTTCCTCACAATATCATTCATATCATCCTTTCCACACGTATCATTTGCTCAGCTGAGAAGGTGATTGGCTGCCTTTTCTGCAGGACCTGCACGCCTCCAGGACTCCCCTCTCTGTATCTGTGTCAATTTTCATTTTATTATCTCCGTCCGTTTTGTTTTCTTTTACATTACCGTTCTGTTGTTTTTTTTTTATTTTAATTTTGCTTTTTTTCTTTGTTCTATTTCTTTTTTTTTTTTTTTTCTTTATTTTATTTTATTTTTTTTTTTTTGTTGTTTTGTGGCCCCCACCCGCCCGAATTCCTTGTTTTTTTTGTGTTCTCTCTGCCGGTCAATCTTTTTTTTTTTTCTTTTTTCTTTGGTCAGTGTTTTTTGTTTGATTCACCAATGTTTGTTTTTTTTTTGTTTGTTGTGTGTTCTCTGTTGTGTGTGTGTTCCTTCACGCCTTCCTTCCCGGTTTAGGCCTTTTGTTGGTTGGTTTTCTTTTTTTTTCTTTCGTTTGTTCCTTTAAAGGAATTTAGGTTGCCTTTGGACGGAATTTTTGGGCCCGGTTCCCGGCCCCATTGGACAACCGGAAACCCTTGGAGTTGTTAAAGGGCAAGGCCGGTTGCCGGATTAATTGAATTAGAAACCGTTTTAGATTGCACTGAGACAACAGAAATAAACATATCATACCACCAGGAAATGTATTGCACCATATGAATGGGTTAAGTGTCCTGAGAATTCAAGAGTCTGATGGCGGAGGGATAAAAAACTGTTACAGAACCTTGTGGTTTTGCACTTCAGGCTGCGGTACCTCTTGCCTGAAGGCAGAAGAGAAAAGAGTTTGTGACAGGGGTGTGTATAACCGTGCACATTGCCTTTTTTTACTTTAAAGTTGAAAGGAGAAATGCCACTCGATACCCTGTTTACTCTATACTGAGGCCATGGGTTCTCACCTTTACCACAAAAGCCACTTGATTGGTTTAAGAAAAGCTTTAAAGGAAATGTTGGTTGATGTATGTTGAAATGTAGCTTTTGCCAATTCAAAGCTAATTGAAACAGAATAACGATACATTACTTCATGCTGATGTGGGTTTAAAGCAGCTATAATCCATGTTTTTGTAACAACAATGTGTCAGACGACAGTGTGGGGAAAAAATCCCAAACGGGATTGCTTGTAGTGATGAGCTCCCAGAGAATTATCACCTCATTATGCAGCCGTTATCCTCTCTGCTTTACAAAGCTTTATCGCTAGATTAGCTCATTGTTAAGCTGCACATCCCTATTGCTTACCAACCTTGCACTTGTACAATGTAAAGAGAAATGATATAGTGTGATTCCCAGCCATATCTGATTCATTCTTAACTTACACCTGCAAAATATTTACAATAATTGCGCTCTGCTTTTAGATTTTAAGTTATTTTGAACCAGGAGAAGATTTTTTTCTCAGTTGCCTTTTTGTATTTTACTATTCTACAACAAGTGTGAATGTAATTTAATTTATTTGTGTAATTTACTGATCGACTGCCCGTGAATCGTATAAATAAAAGAAAAGAAAATCTTTTTACCAAATAAAAATAAATGCATTTTAAAGAATAATTAAAGAAGAAATGAAAAATCATTCACAGATTAACAAAAACTCCACTGTTGCTTTTGTATTTATTTTTTATTTTTTAGTGAAGAAATAGTGATTGATAGTGTTCTTCCTGTAATGCTGGTGTTTCAGTGTGCAATGTGGTGCCACAGTGGTGTGTGTCACTGCAACAGCCACAAGAGGAGCCCCTTCTGGAACAACCTCCGAAACGATGCACTTCTGGGAGGACTGCAGCATTTTAACCTCACGCTGTCAGAAGTAGACTCTCACCTCCGACATGCAGGTGCACAGATTACACTCACATTTCTGAAACCTCAGGCTGAACCTCTTGTGATATGACTGTGATTACATGTTTTTTTCAATTTGTCCTCCTCGGGTCCAGAGGCGATGCTGCAGACCTTCAGACAAGAGCTCTCTGCACGGTTCTCATCCTTTGTGAAGGGGAACACGCTACAGGAAATTGGTCTATCCCAACTGAACGCGCACGGCCTCGTCCACAAGTGAGCCATTCATGTTTCACAAATTATTTTTACTTTTTTTTTGTTTGGGCTTTTTAGGCTTTATTATAGTTGAAAGTGGAGAGAGAGACAGGAAATATGTGGAGAAGAGTGGGGGAAGGACCTGTAGGAAATGGTCATGGGCTGCACTTGAACCCATGACCTCTGCGTTGTGGACTATAGCCCCCCTGTTCATGGGTCGCCTGCCTAACCTGTTGAGCATTATTGTTTTTAAACATATGACAGTCCTTAGGATCCATATCTGGGCTCCTGTGCATCCTGGTTGCAGGAATTAATTTGCATACAGCCACAAGAGCAATAATGAAGTCAGCTATTGAGGTGAGGTGAGGTGAGGTGTTGGGCTGGGTTAAAGCGAGTTGTCTACGTAGGCTAGCTAAATTCTACTGCTCCAAAATATGAAAACCGTCTTCATGGATGACCCTCTGTGCATGAGAAAGGTAATATTGTGTTGAAAGAAGACAGGGGCTTCCATGTGTGTCAATTTATACTGCGTTTTACTGCATTTTACAGAATAGAATAAAACTTTTTTTTGTTTCAGTTACACACCTGTGTACGAGTTTGTGTCATCGTTCCTGAACAAAGCAGACCAACAGGACAGCAGAGCTGCAGCCATCATGCATCTAGGAGCTGCACAACTTTTTTTGAGACATTACCAAATCACAGGGTATGAGGAGCAGCATGTCCACTTCTACATTATCTGTTTTCTTCAGTTTCAAATTTTCACTTTTACAATTTCCTTTGTTTATATTTTTTCTTCAGAGCCTTCGTCTTACAGACTCCCATGTGTAATGTCGCTGAAGCTAAAATAGTGTTAATGCAGAGGTGAACACACACATACAGAATCCTATATTATCTGTGACTAATTCATTTGGATAATAAACTTTTTTTTAATGTGTTTCTGTGTTTGGGGGTTTTCAGGGTTATAGCATCAGTGCAGAGACAGATGGTGATGGCTGATTACACTGCAGAGTTCCTCCGAAAACTGCAGGACTTTTACAAGAGGTTATATTTCCCCGCCGAGTTCAGGAACTTCAGGAACAGGTGTGTTTGCGTCTGTGCTTTCCTTTTATATCCCCAAGGTTACACATTAAAACCTTTTTATGTTCAGTAAATGTAGCTTGATGCTTATGTGCTGCAGCCTGTGTGTTCGTCCCTGGGACGACGTGCTGCTTGTGTCTGTGCTGAAGGGACAGAATGTGTCGGGCGTCCGTAAGGACAAAGGCAAGAAGGACATCCTGTTTGAACAGATTTCTGTGGTTCTACTGAGGACAGAGCTACTGCAGCGTCAGCGCAGGTTTAAGAACATACACTCTTTTACTTTATGTAGTGCACATGTAGCCTTTGCAACAGGAACTAAAAGACTGCCACATCATTACTGCCTGCAGGTACAGAGAGCTGTGTCGATATCTACGAGTCGTCCAGACGAATGATGCCAGCCTGTGAGTTTATGTGCCTCTCTGTTTTTCTGTACCATGAAGTACCAGTGGCGGTAACACAACTTTTTCTCCTTTTTTCTTAAATGTTTTGCATAAAGTCTTGACCTAACAACAGACACAGAGCAGGGATTTGAACATTGTCAGCAGAGATAAAGATGTTTGTGTAGTTTCGTACAACCACATAGTTGAAGTTTTCCTGTGAATATAAAAAACTAAGACTCAAGACTGATCATTGTTTGAAAGATTTATTTTTGAGCTAAAAAAAAATATAATAAAGGAGAAAGGTATTTTTTGAAAACAACGAAAATAATAAACAGGTTTATCAATAAAGACCAGAAGGAGAATTGTAGCTCGGTTGTAAATTCCTTAGTTGAAGATCCTCTCTCCAGCTCTGTCATGCTTTTTTAATGAGAGTTACTTCCTATTTTTTAATCTATTGCTGAAATATATATAAAACTACACTGATATTTACATACATGAGCTGCATGCAGCTACAGAAATAGCGCTACTTTTTCAGCTCTTAACCATCTATCAAAAACAAACCATCATGCATACATTTATGTAGCCGATGACGACATGACCTCCTGCTTTATATCCTCTACAGCCTCCGGCAACAACAAGACCTCATCCCCTTCTTCATGTGCATGCACGGAGACTTCATGTCGGGTCTGACCAGTTTGTTCCCTTCAGTGAACGCTCCCGCCTCCAGACTCTCTCCGCAAAGCTTCCTCTTTTATCTCCACATGTTTGAAACAGCGACAGCACCAAAGCTGATAGTCATTCAGCCGGCACAGCTCAACTGTTCTGATGCAAAGTGGGAACCAATTGAAGGTCAGAGAAAGATGTATTTTCACTTTAAAAAAATCTCACAAACAAGATCTTTTTGTTTTTGACGTCAGACTTCCTCCTCTTTGTAGGTGCTGTGCCACTGAAGCGTGCTGAGCTGGTGAAGTTTGCTCTCAGGGTTCAGAGATGCTGCTACGCTGTCTACACTGATGTAAGTCAACACGTCCTGTTCGGTTTGCTCTGTTTAAATAAAAGAACTTCTTAGCAAAATCAGACTCGGAGAGGCTTTAACAAGCTTCAAACACAGACTAATTCCTCAGACTCTGGTGAAGATTATCAACATCACTGCACTGTCTTCCAGTAAACACTAAACTTGATGTTATTGTAAATTTCTAATATAGGCAATGAATATGTTTGTGGTCTCTCCATCAACTCAAAGAAATGTCATCAGTTGTTTATAGCTGCTTCCATGCTCTTTTTTGCATGATGTTTATTGTCCTTATTTCGTGGTTTTTCTCTGGATTTCTTACTTTCCTCTTGACACTGTACCAAAGGAGCAAAGCGGGTTCCACAGACATTACATGCTTGTAAAGGTGGTAATCCAGAATCGATATCTACAACATTCTAACATCATGACTCAGGTGCACAGCCCAGTAGGGCTGGCATTGTTTAAACTCCAGTAGATTTCCAGTAGCTAGTTGATCATGTTGTGATCCTTGAAAGTCCTAGACCAGGGGTGTCCGATCCTGGTCCTCGAGGGCCACAGTCCTGCATGTTTTAGATGTCTCCCTCTTCCAACACACCTGATTCAAATGATCAGCTCATCATCAAGCTCTGCAGAAACCTGATAACGATCCTGGTCATTTGAATCAGGTGTGTTGGAAGAGGGAAGCATCTAAAACATGCAGGACCATGTCCCTCGAGGACCAGGATCGGACACCCCTGTCCTAGACATAGATATGTATAATAAAGGCTAGAAGTCTTAAAGCGGCGTTTCAAACGGGTTCACCCTTCGGCCATCTTGGTACGGAAAAGCTCTCTGGCGGAACCTGTGGTACGTGAAGGAAGGTGAGTGATCTGAACAAACGTAAATACTCGTATCTCGCTGAAATCTTGACGGATTTACAAACGGTTTGGTTTCATACAAACGTTGTTAACGTGGCTACAATTCAAATTACAAAAATACAAAATAATTAAAATACTAATTGTTGCTGGCCGTGACTACTAGCGTACCATATCAAGATGGCCGCCAGTGTGGCCGTGTGATTCCATTGGCCGACAGCGCGAATGAGACATCTAGCCTTTATTATATTTATATCTATGGTTCTAGATATCATTTTTGGTTCCCAACCTTCTATAGCATTCCATGTCTGATTTCTGAGAAAAGGGAGGGTTTCCCCCTAAAACAGCAACACAACAGTGTCTAAATGATGCTGAGACTGAGTTTGGCTGTGTTTTATGCACCATTCTAGCATCTGAACCTCGTGAGAAAAATCAGAAGAAGCTGGAGACACTTTCTATCTGTTGTGTAGTCTTGTTCCAGCGTATGACCGTATGTCTGCTGTCTCTCTGATCCAGTCTCAGTGTTGGAGCGGTTTACTCAAAATCGTCAGCACACATCGTGGTTCACTCACTGCTTTATCTGCACCCAGCCCTCAGTTTCTGCACGTATGTATTTCTTGCTCATCAATAGCTCCTTTATTTTGATGGTTGTGTATTTGTCGTAGTTGTTTTCATCGTGTGTTTTCTATCTATGATGTCTGAACGATGAAGGAAGCAGGACAAGCTGTGAATTTCATACTGCTCGATAAGAAGAGCTCCAATTTGCAGATTCCACGATTTTTCCTGGAGGTCAGTATGTGTGAATTTACACATCAGAGGTCAAACTCATGAATGTGAAGAGTGGTAATAAACTGTAAAAAAAAGCAAAAAACATGTTTGCAGGTGTACCCAGATCAGGCCTTGCTGCTGCTGGTAACGGGAGCTTTAGGTTTGAGAATCCGTGATGCTGCTCTGAGTCCAGTGGTGCCTGTGCTCAAAACTTTTCAGGTAACCTCCTTTTACCTTCTCCTTTAACACCAAGGTATTAAAGTCTGGGGAACAATGCCAAAAGGAGAGCTTTAAAAAGTTACTAAGAGCTCTGTGGGGACAGGAGGGTCAGAACCATGCAGTCAACTACAGCTCTGTGGTTCATATTATCCATAACAAGCTCCCGAGTGTCTTGAAACATCTTTGCAGAGTTTAGAGAACTCATGGTCATCTGACTGACTTGTGTTTGTGGAGGTTCAGTGCTAACATGAGTAGCTGTGTGGACCAAGAATCTGGAACAAATTCTAATTGTGCAACGACCACAGATTTTCTTACAAACTAGGTTTTCACATACAGAGATTTTGACATGGTGGTTTAGTGTATAACATGAAACACTGACCAGCAGAAGATCTTCAAAGACGGATGAAAAGATTAAAAAAACAACAACAAAAAAAACCTAATATTGCAAGTTGACATTGTCACAAACACAAAAAATGCAAGTGTTGTAAATCAAATAGAATGTACATGTGGCAAATACAAAGTAATAGAAATATTAACTGTGCAAATTATTCACTTGAGAATGTGATGTTTTGTTGTTGTTTTTTTTTTTTTACATCAAGGACAGGAATCTGTTCTGTTGTGTCGCTGCGTGTAGCTTGTTTGTTCTAGTGTTAGTGAATAGGTAACTACAGTGATAAAAATGATCCTACAGTTACGTTTCTTGGAGAAGCAAGTGGCTTGTTACTGCAGTTGTATTTATTTTCAAAGCTACAGAAAAGAGCTTCCAGAAACAGCTTTTAACTAATGTGTTTGATAACTATAACATTAGATATCCACTGTAAAGAGGACAGAGCAGCTTTAAGTGTATTGTGTCAACTTTGGCATTTTTGCAGACTTGTGTCTGTCATTCTCATCATGCAAAATAAGCTAAACTTAGAAATTCTAAATATCTGGCAATGGCTGAACAGTTTGTTGACTTTCACAGTTTTTGTGTTACTTCTTGAATTTCACATCCTGAATGAGAAAATGTTCAGTGTCACCGGATATACTGTACTGTGACACTGTATCACTGGACAGGTCATCAACGTCTCCCAAGAGAATTTTCCCAAGAGACTGGACTGTCGCTATTTGACTGAAGGACTGCAGTGACTGAAACCGCATGCTTAAAAATATTACAGTGACAAACATGGACTTATTGTGGACTAAAGTCTATATCTGGTCATGCTTCTGTCTTGCAGGACAATCAGTGGGCCGTCACATGGCTGTGTAACAGTCTGTCCTCCAGCGAAGAACGTCTCAAAGCCTTCATTCAGGAGCTCACACAGGAGATGGAAAGCATAGCAGGTACTGTACGCTGGAATCTTCCTATTGCACTAAACTGTCAGTGTCCTTATCTGAGCCTTTGAATCATTTAAAATATCTACTCAGATTGTATCAGTAGGACAGTAGTTGCATCAAATTCTTCTTTAAATATTTATTCAGTGCAAACATATTTTTGGGGTGAGTGTTCCTCAGCGTGTTGCCCTGAAAAAAAAAAATAAAAGAACTAACAAGTTATTTGCAATGTTTGGTGACAACATCAACATCTAAACTCAGGGGCCAAAACCGTTCTCTGCATGCTTCAAAGTCCTCGTCTGATCCTCTAAAAGTGCTTCAGATCTGTCGTGGAAAATTGCTGTAATTGTTAAACTTAAAAAAGTAATTTGCTGGGCTGTTGGTAGATTTACTATTATATACAAAATGGAGAAAAGCACTTTGTCTAGATTAAAACTTTTGTCCGGCACCTGTCTCTGAGAGAAAACCAAGAGTGACAGCTTATTTTTTGACATGACGGTGAACATATAGATATTTTTTTCACATTAGCAAATTGGAAATAGTTTATAAGTGTAAACGTTATGGGACGGTTTTCCATATCATGTAAAAACTCTTCCTACAGTCCAACATTCCTAAAGTTGATCCAGGAGCCTCTTCAGACTAAAACTCCACATCTGATGCTTGTGGTGTAACAGACACGTTACTGTCAGCAGCAGTTAACCTGTAACTCTGAACACAACAGCATTTAACGCCCCTGAAAATAAACAAACATGTAAGCAATTGGTTGCTAACAGATGATTAACATAAATAACGGACAGCCCAGGAGGTTACAGTTGATTTTACTTCCTGTTTACGATCACAGCACTGGGAAAACCCTTCACTAAGAGATCTGTACAAACTGTTACGTCCAGCCTAGGGGTACCTGAACGCAACATGAAAATGCCGTCCTTCACCAGTCTCAAGCAAAAAGTGATGTTACAGGAAAAAATATTATTTATTTACAATAAAGTGTGATTTTATAACAAAGGTGATGGTAGTATATAAATTGAATTAAGAGTGAGCTCTACTAAAACAACAAACAAAACCACACAATACTCAGGGAGTCCCAACTTACTTGTCAAAATAAAAGTAGCAAAATTAAGTACAAAGTCTAGCCTCCCTCTCCAACTTCAACAGGTGAAAACATAGTTTAAACACAAAAGTAGCCGCTCACTCCGTTCATCTAACACTTTAGAGTTACTTGACAAAAGAACACTGAACGTGAAGGATGGCCGCGCCCATCTGACCCTCTCTGCACACCGGCGACGTCCTTCCACATTTAATACCGGAGCTTCCATTGGTCAGCCAATCCGGTCCTCGCTACAGCGCAGCCCTGTTTACATATTAAATAGGAACACAGTGGGTTACACACAGATCAAAGGAAAAATAACGTTCTATATACAAATACAACCGCAACTATTTCTTGCTGTGAACTCACTGAGAGCCTTCTTTTTACAAACCAGCACCGTTTTACACAGCCCGAGGTTATCATCAACAGCACCATCTTTTCATCTACCATCACCAGAACCACTCTGCTTTGAGCTCAATTTCATGTCACGTCCTCGCTTGTGGTGTAAAGTTTGTGTCCTCGTGCATGAACCAAAATAAATGAGGGCAACAATCCAGGGCGGCCTCGAGGTGCAACATGGCCACATAACATAGCCTCTCTTTGTTTCTGTGTCAGACGGGGGCAAGTTGTTTCCTTTTCTTCGCTCCATCGTCGCCACTCTGTCTGCTGGGACCAGTGAGTTAGACTTCATCACTAACTTGCTGCAGCTAAAGCACTGTGGCCTTTTCAAGCACAGAAAAGACCTGATTTAGAGAGATTTCTATTTTATTAATTACATTTTTTTGTATATCTGATCTGCTGTCTTCTTCCCATGTCCTCTCCTGAGATGGCAGTGATCATCTCAGGTCACATGTGGTGATCCTAGACTCACTAGTGCTGATTCTGTTTTTTTTCCACTTGCAGGCAGTCCGTTGGCTGTTGATGGGGACTCCCTCTTACAGAATCAGCTGTGAGTTCCTCAATCTGCTACTCCTTCCTCTGGATGTTGTTTTGGTTGCTTGTATCACAACCCAAATTTAAAGCTGCATTGTGTTTTGTGTACCGTGACTAATCAACTCAAATCAAGTTTATTGTCATGTTGCTGTACATACACAGTAGTACAGGCAAGATAGAAGAGTGTTTCTTAAGGATCCAATACCTTAAAGCAATTTAAATAAACAAGTGTTTGCATATCTGGATCAGCAGTTCAGCGTTCTGACAGCTTGTGGTATGAAGCTGTTGATCATTCTGGAGGTTCTTCCTTTAATGCTTCGGAAACGTTTGCCTGATGGCAGCAGTTCAAACAGTTTATGGAGAGGGTGTGAGGAGTCCCTGACAGTGTTCAGTGTCCTGCTCCTGCAGCAGCTCTGGAGAAGTTCTTGGACAGAGGTGAGGGGAACTCTGATGAGCCTCTCAGCTCCTCTGACTATCCTCTGCAGGGCTTTTCTGTCCGATATACTGCAGCTGGAGGACCATGTTGAGATGCAGGATGTCGGAACGCTCTCCACCACACCTCTGTAAAAAGCCCTGAGGATGCTGGCAAGAAGAGAGGCTTGTTTCAGTGGTCTCAGGAAATGTAGTAATCTTTATATTTTTAGAAAGCAACCTGTAAGTTCAGGTGCTGTTTAAACTACTGTAACACATCATGTGAAACCTTTAGGGCTTCCAAATGTTTTGAATGCTTATACTTTGTTTTTAATGTGCACAGTATGATCCGTCCAGGGTGTCTCCTGCCTTCACCCTGAGTCACCTGGGGTTACGCTCCAGCTCCCCCTACGACCCTAGTGAGGATTAAGCGGTGTATAGATAATGGATGGATGGATGGATGTTCACAGTATGACGGTCTATAGGACAGTCAGTGTTTCTTGTTAGTGTGCTGCTGCTTCAGTTCAAGACTCATTTCCACCACCAGCTGTTCACAGGTGGAACTGCATCAGAGTGAAGGATGCACGATGCTGTCAAGCTTCCCCCATCTGTATCACTGCCCTCCGCTGTCAGCTGGAATGTGTTTCACTCCACATCTCTCTGCACCACCAGTTAGGATCAAAAACGCCATCATTTCTCCAGGCCGAGCGCTGATCACTCTTTACTTTTCTCCACTGACAGCAGTCGTTAAGCCCAAGCTTGTGATACTGAGAGCGCTGATCCCACAGTGTTTTTCTTTTTTCTTTTTCAATTTAACATCTATATTCCTCTCTGTGTGGAACTGACAGAGATCATCTATCTAGTCTATCTTCTGTCACTTCTGTGGGGCTCAGTGGACCAAAGCTATTTTTAGACTATAAAATGTAATTGTGTTGTACTAGAAGGTCTGTAAGAACTCACTGTTAATAAAAAAGAAATATATTTAATGCCAATGTGCTGCAGTAATACCTGCTGGGTAAGAACAGGTTTGATCCAATCATAGTCGGTCAATGCATCACAAGTTGAAGAGGTTAGAACAAGAAACTGTTGAACTTTTTAACGAGAAAATACCCAAAATAATTGATAAATCATAATAATTTTTTGTCAGCTGACTACATCATTATCTTTTCAGCACTGACTGGATGTGTCCTAACACTTTTTTTTTTCTCCTCTCAGGGCTGATCCTTTGCAGCATTACTAGCACCACCTTAAATGGCAAAACTGTATGTGTAACTACTCAAACGTGTAACTCGGGGCTTCATATGCACAATATGTCCTGACCTTCTTGTTTTCTGGTGGCAGGGCGTCCTTGGTGGCACATCCTTCCTCGTGGCAGAACTGCGGACCTTAAACAGACTGTACCTGCCCGCACACATCAGGTGTTTGAAGCACGACGCACAGACTTCAAGAAACCTCCTCTTTGGGATTCAGATATTTCACTTTTGCTTCACTCCTTAAAGACTTGTTCAGGTTTATTCCTCAACTGTGGGATTTTGTTATTTTTACTTTAATGCTGCTTATTTTGTCAAGAAAAACTTTATTTACTTTTATTCTAAATGTTCTTAAGAAGGAACTGATAAATAAAGAGAAAACGTCTTTTGTCCCCACACTGCTGTGGCCAAATTAAAGAAAAAGAAAAAGATTTCTTGCTGAATTATTGCTCAGACTGCAGAACCCAAATTTAAAATCCAACTTTATTTTCAGAGTAATTATGCGCACAGTAAAATCGGCTCATGGTAGCATTAATAAAACAGCAAACACGTGAGTCCAGTGTCAAACAGAAGGAGGTTGCTGCTCTGCCGTCATCTCACTGCAGTCAACGGTTTAAAGGCCAAGTTACTAAACCGCTGTCGTCTATGATGTCACTGGATGGAGCTCCAGTTCTGTGATCACAGAGGAAATGGATGGAAAGTCGTTTTAGACTTTGTGTTGTTGATGGCGACGTTACAGAGGAGACTGCTGCTCAACAAGGACATGGAGAGGGCAGAAAAACTGCACTTTTTGTACCAGTGTTGAGACTCACACCAGAGTTGTTTTTCAAGGCAACTAGAGTTTGTGCATTTTTCTCTCCAGAGGCGCTTCGTGCAGTGGGAACATGCTCAAAGGCTCAGCTCCTGCAGGAGAAAACGGCTTAAAGGAAATTCTGTGAACCCTTTAAACTTTTGCATGAAACCAGGAAGTATCTTTTTTTTTGTGGGTTCAACATTAGTTTTGTTTTTTGATTGTAATTCTTCTACGTTTTGAAAAAACTGCTCCTGTATGGTGGTTGTTAATGCTGTTGGATGTACTGACAAATATTTTTGGATTACTTTAAAACTGCAGCAAACCTGAAGTTGCTGCCAAGTAATGTATTGTTCATTATCTTGTGAGCTACTTTGTTCATAGTTCGGAAATTAGAAAAACTTTTTGGTTCTGTATTATGGAAGCAGTGTTGACTTTCTCATGCAAGAAGCTAAATAAATTTGCAACTTTTACACTTAGCATAACCATATCTATCACTATGTAAGATCAACTACTGCATTATTGTATGGACCTTCATATTTTGTGCTTTTAAAGTACGTGATGTCATTTTTTTCCTTCATACTTGTGACTGTAAATGTAGTAACAAAATCAGTTGTACTGTTTGATATGCATCGGGCCGGGCTGTCCTGAGTGGACCTTTGGTTACTGTCATTGTACATTCAGTTTTCACACTTGTCTTTCTAAACTGCAGCTGAGTTGGGTGATAAGACAGAACAACAGGTAAACAGTGCATGTTGTTGCAGAGTATTAAAGCATCTACAAGCCATAACACAATGCTGGTTAAACAGTACTCTCAGATCTATAAAAGTTTTTTTTTTGCTTGCGTAAATTCACAATTAAATTACAAAGATCACATGTGATTGAGTGATAAACCTACATCTTTAAAACATCATAATAAAGCTGCATAAGGCTGCCAGCATATAAAAGTCTTTGGTGCCAGTAAGGCACTAGTGCACTAATGTCCAGGAACTAGAAATATATGACTCAGACCATCAGAATTTAAGACTGTCTTTAAAAAAATCACATTCTTTAACTCTGATGTGTTCACAGCAGCAGGCGATAAAACGTGAGTCACTGAAAATCACAGAGACATCAGTGCATTGACTTGCAGCAATCAGCATAATCTATCTTTTTGTTCATCCAGTGTCTTCTTTTGATTCTTACGCTGCATATGTGTTTCTGTGGAGGTTCACTGAGCTGTAGTAGAACCGTAAAACCGCCGGTCCACGTCCCGCGTGGCGCTGCTTGATGAGGTCGGACAGAAAGCGCATCACTCTGAAATCGCTTTCGCTGCTGCAGAATCCTCGCGTGGAAAGAAACTCCTCCTCTTCCGCGCCATCGTTCCCTCCCGCGGCTTTCGGACGTTTGAAAGTGTACAGCAGCACCTGATTGGCCAGCGCGGTCAGGCAGCTCTCCAGGTGCAGCAGGTAGGTGATGCCCCGGCTGATACCGGAGAGAGGATCAGCCAGTCTGCCGATGAGAGAGCCGGAGTACGACGGACAGCGCAGCGTCTTCTGATCTATGTCCAGCAGCGCTAAATAACGGCTGTAGCGAGTCAGAGAATGAAGGATGACGGACGAAGAGCTGGAGGATGATCTGGTGAAGAAGAAAAAGAAATGCATGGATGAGACTTTATTGATTTCATTTGTGGACTGAAAATGGACAAAAACACAATAAAAGTTAATTTTAATTAAAATTCAAACAAAATTTCAATGGTTTGCATCCCGGTGAGGACACCCGGGATCTTTCTGCGTGGAGTTTGCATGTTCTCCCCGTGCAGCGTGGGTTCTCTCCGGGTTCTCCGGCTTCCTCCCACACAGTCCAAAAACATGTTGAGGTTAACTGGTGATTCTAAATTGTCTGTAGGTGTGAATGTGAGTGTGCTTAGTTGTCTGTCTCTAAGTGTAGCCCTGTGATAGACTGGTGACCTGTCCAGGGTGTCCCCTGCCTTCACCCTGAGTCGGCTGGGATAGACTCCAGCCCCCCATGACCCTGGTGAGGACTAAGTGGTGTATAGATAATGGATGGATGGGTTTGCAAAAACAGATACCTTGATTTTTGTATATTTTCAGAAAACTGAATTTTTTGTTGTTTGCTTGAGATAATACCAATCCTACTAAAGTTGAGAGGATTTGGCTCAGTAGAAATGACAAAAACAGAGATAACTTATAGGTTTGATTGATATTGTCTCAGGTAGACGATGGAAAAGTAGGTTTTCTGAAGGTTTGTGAAGACGGAGTTAACTGTTTTTGCAAATGAGCTCTTCAATTATTTCCAAAGCGAAGCGATTATTCACTATTTTCTCGTTGCCTGACATATGCATAACTCCTGTCAAACACTTCAAGCTTTATGGAGCTAATGTTTACTGCCTGGATGTTGTATTGTAAGGTGTTGCTGTTTCTGTTTCTGTCTAAGACAAGTTAAAGGGCTTTACATGTAAAACAAAAGAAAACAAAAAAATGATGACGTCAGTGTCAGATCATCTTCACCTGTGTATTCCGATAAGTCTCCAGGTGAGCAGGTCGGTCAGCTGCAGGGCTGCAGTCAAACACGGCATCACAGCGCCCCCATCAGGACCAGGAGCAGGCAGGAAGAGGCTCAGAGCGTCCACCAGCTTCCTGACCAGAACGTCGTCTCCTCCGATGACCACCAGCGGCCGGCCGCTCAGGAGGCAAAACACGGCATGCTGGCAGAAGGAGTTCTGCTTGACGAACCTGAGCGCTCTGAGCCCGGCCTTCCTCCTCCTCCTCCTGTCCAGGCGGGCGCTGCTGTGGAGGTTTTGGGTCGGGGACGGCGGGTCCGAGGAGCCGGCGAAGCTGTTGCACTCCGATGCCTCGTCGATGCTCAGCAGCCTGAGAGGAGGGCCGGGAGGAGCCAAGCGGTCGACCAGAGGGGCAAAGTTCACGTGGAGGTCAGGAGCCAAGCGCACCGTCTGACGGACCTCAGGCCACTGAGGCGCCGAGTCCACGGCTGCTGCTGCTGCACAGACATTTGTTACAGGTTGTGAAACGAGCAACTTCTCACAGTCATTAATAATTTAGTGAGACATAAACCGGACGATTAAGAAGAAAGAGTTTCACCTCTTCAGAGCTATGACAACAAATGGAGGTAAATGTATTTCACTGACATATACAACCTTCTATAAGGGTCTGTTTGTCTATGAAGGCTTTGAGTTCTGCTGTAATTCCACCTGATGAGACATTTGGAGCCACTTTTTAACCCACATTTCATACACGACAGTCAGACTTGTGACAGTTTACTGATCCTTCCTGTCTACTCTCAGGATGCAACCGTGGTAATTTAGAAATCAAATGACCTCAGATCAAGGTTCAGTGTCTTTCTTTTATTGTTCAAAATAATCTCTGCATAGATTGTGAGAAAACAGACTTTGTACCCCGGAAACAGTCTCACTCTGGTTCAATAACTGGCTGCTGTTGTCAGCAGTCTGATTCATTGGCAGAATATTTACTCTCTGGTTTGTCCTCATAAATACATAAATGCTGATTTCCTACGACTAATTAAGATATAACGTACTTCTCGAGGGAAAATTTGGCGATGTTGACACAGCATGTGGAGCCTGGAACACATATAAGTGACCATCATCCAACCCCTGTATTAGATAGTCCTGGTGTTTAACAAAAGATGTCTCCTGATGCGTTTCTTAGTTAAATCCTGTCAGAATAGACACCTTGTAATTTAGTGTCTCTCTCAAAGTGCAGTGCTAATTGAGGGTTTTCTGCTGAGCCTGTTCTACTGATGGTTGATCTTTTGTTGTGTTATATTTGTGCGTCAGCTCTGAACGTGTGCTCTGAGAAAGAGGAAAACACAAGTTTGAGAGAGATTGTTGAAACAGAAAGAAAACACTTTTGTTCATTCAAATTTAAGTGTAATTACTCCTCACCAAAGTATAATTTGCATTTCCAAGAAGGCTTTCATCTCTTGCACTCAGAGCTGAAGCACAAATACGAGTATAATTCCTAATTCACAACCGCCAGTGATTTAACAGTGGTTAAAAGAACAGCAGTTAGTGTTGAAGTAGATTCCCTGATTTGGAGAGGAAACATTCTCTACATCCACATTAAGTCGGCTCCATTTAAGACGCATCATTTACACATTTTAAGTGTAGATGTACAGCTGCTCCAGGAAGTAGTCCGACCCCTTCACTTTACTATGTTCTAGATTTTGTTTTCAGTGAATACACTTTGTATTTGTTTCTGTCAATCCACACCCAATACCATATCATGACTTAGATATATTTGCAGACTGAAGTTTTCATACATGGAAGCTGCAGCAGATGTGTTACCTTGCGGTACGTCGGACGTCTTCTCTGGTGTTTTGTCTTCGTGGTCTTCAGTCTTCTTGACAGTTTCCGGCTCCTCTTTGATCACGACACCATCACAGACTGTTATTTGCGGCACAGACTCTTGTCTTTCAGCAGGAACCTGAACAAACTCTTCATTTTCAGCGTCATTCACTGAAGTAGCTCTATTCACCGTCTTCTCCTCTGTGAGGCCTTCGTCAGATTTACACTCAGTCTGCGGTTCTTCCTCAGCTTCAAAGCCGTTACTCAGAGGCTGCTGCTCCGCTTCTTCCTCCGTGATGGCAGTGAGGTCGTCAGGAAAGATGGACTCGGTGGTGCTGAGCACTTCGATGCTGTCCTCGCTGTTGGCCCGCTTGGCGTACGCTCGCACCCGCCTGACGCCTGCATCTACGACTGCACGCCTCAGGTAGGTGTCCGTCACCCCGACTGGTGTTTCTGAGGAGGAGACAGAGCTGTCAGCTGGTCCGGCTGTAACACTGTTGTTTCATTTCATTTCAGTATCAATTTTTTCGACCAGTAACACAAAAACTAAAAGTCTTATGACTGGCAACCAAAAAAAAATAAAAACACTGAAGAAGTTGGGACCAGAGAATCTTTTAAATTTTTTCTTGATAAATGATGAACTATTTATCAAAACTTTGGTTACCATCGTACGTCAACCATTTAACTTGTTTAATAGCCACACTGAATGGACCACAGCTGACTGGTTAGGAAGATACCACATGGATGGACTATTTGCTCCATATCTAATCTCTTTCCCACATTTCCTGTGTCGCTTTCACATAAAGGCACAAAAACTATGTAAAAGTAATAAAACTAAACTGAATTGCCCAAACAGTTAAAGGAATAGTGCTGCATTTCCTGAAACATGCTTACGCTGCTCAGTTTCATGCACCGAGATAGTTTCTTAGCTTCGAAGAGATCAAATTACAAAGAATCCAGAAAGTTACTGATCCCTGTTACTGTCAGATTATAAGCTGTGCCACAAAGGGCTTCATCACTCATTAATATGTTCTTTATTCTTTCTATTTAGTACTGTTTATTGTGTAAATACCAAATACCATGGCAACCCGAGCCCAAGGTGAAATTTGCACATTCTACTTGAGTTGACGCTCAAAAGTCTACAATAAGATTATTATAACTCCATTAGTATTTATCACACTGTACAGTTTTGTTTTCCTCGTACAAAGTATAACTTTGCATTGTGAGCTCATACTTTTCTAGTTATGTTTCTATTTTTAGGACATATTTTCTAATCATGTCTAATCATCTTCTATATTTTCTATTCTGAATGGGAGCAATGGAAGCATTTTCCTCTCAGGGATCAATAAAGTATTTCTGATTGTGATTATGTTCAATTTAAAATGAGATAAAACAGGGAAAAAAAGCAGCACATGTTCACATTTGAGAGGCTGAAACCAGATTTTTGCTTCTTGGTTGACTTTGGTAATAAACTCTTATTGATTCATCCCCTGCTGATCACTTCACCACCACGTTTCGTACCTCTGCTGTCAGATCCAGCAACGATCTGCTGTGTCCGGTAAGACTTCTCCGTCCCGAGCACTTCGATGCTGTCGCCGCTGCTCATGCTCCCGGTCATCTCTGTGGCAGCACCGGGCTCGGGGCTGTCAGTTTCTCCTGCCTCCAGTTTGATGGGGAGCTCCTCCACACAGGAGAAGAACGTCTCCAGGACCGGATGGTCTGATCGAAGCTCCTCAATGCTCCTCTTGCTCCCTGAGGTCTGTGCCTCTGCCTCAGCGCTCTCTCTTTCCTCCTCCTCTACGTCCTCGGGGCTCCACAGCTCAAACAGAAAGTTAGTGAGCGTCAGCCTTCTGGACAGCGAATGTGCGACCCGAGTTGTTCGCAGGACGCTCCTGTCGCCGCGGAGACGGCGCTCCGTGTCTGCCAGCTGGTCCTTCATCAGGGACAAGAAGTAGGAGTTGCAAAGCTCCTGCAGTGGCTTCAGACAGCGCTCTGACCTGCAGGAGGTGGAGATGGAGGAAGAGGAGGAGGGCTCGGGAGGCTGGAAGGCAGTGGGATCAGAGAGGGAGTCGGCTAGATCGTAGGGCAGGAAGTCGGGCTGTTTGAGCTTCCTGTTCGGGTAGGAAGTGACCTGGCGGAGGAGGTCTCTGTGAGTGGAGATGGAACGCTCCACAGCTTCAAGCTCGACACCTTTTTCTTCAGCGTCTGTGAGCCCGTTTGCCGTCCTCTGATGTTTTGTCTCCTGCAGCAGAGTCAGCTGTCCGTACCTGAAACAGCCAGAGGGAGTTGTATTCAGTCAGCAGATCTAAAGACCCAACAGAGATATCACACGGCCCTGGAGGACACCCGTGCATCACTGCAGCAAGGAGAGAAGGTACACCTCTGGAGCTAGGACTAGACATCAGAAGCATCTGAATTAGATTTTGACATCTGCTCACATCTCTACAGGGAAGAGGCAACACAGATGTTCAACAGCCCAACGTTTACACTGAGGAGGATGTACGCTCCGTCTGCATCTGTTCTGGAGTATACTGCTGCCTTTATATCAGCACCGGACAAAAAGCTAATTAATTAGTTAGCAAACTGAAAAACAATCAGTTCTCAAAATACATATTGATTATTGATTAAAACTTGTTATTCTAACCAAGGATTCTCTACGAGCAATTCTTGGTTCCAACTCCTCAAATCTAAAGACTGCTTGATTTTTTCTGTCACTGTAAATGAAAAATATTAAGTTTTTCGACTGTTTGAGGACAATGTGCATTTTGAAAATATCTCTGTGGGCTCTAAGACACTGTATTAGGATATTTTCTGAGGGGGCATGTGTTGACTATTTTTTAGACACAAGAATAATCCAAAAGGTGCATAATAGGTTAATTAAAAGTGTATTTATCATTGCTTGCAGCCCTAAAAAGGGAGCTGAATGCTCCTCACCTGGAGGTGTTGAAGCAAAAGCCAGACATCCAGGTGTCAGGTATTGGACTTTAAGCCTGACTTTTCTTAGCCTGCTTTATGGAACAGAACCTGATTTTGGTGGATAGCCCAGTCATTGGCTTAAGTGTCCTGTCATGGGCTGGGTTTTTATCATTTTAGAAAGCTCAAAAAGGAAAGAGAAAGAGAAGAAGTCTCGTTCACACCTGAATTACAACATGCTGAAAGGCCAAAGTTTACCCAAAGACTGAAAATACAAACTGCCTACCCTAGCTTTAAATGACCTGATAACACCTCTGCTAAAGGCAGGGCCCCCTCTCGTTGTAGGAATATAGTTAGGGTCCGAGCACCCAAAAGGGTGCAAAGACCCTATTGGAACTGCTCGGATTATTATTATTATTATTATTCGTGCCAAAGACACGCGTTTTTGAGGCCCTAAACATACTCCAAAACTCACCAAAATTGCCATGGACATCAGACCCGGTGAAAAATTTTATAATTTGGAAGAACAATACACACCT